AAACAATGCTTTCAAAATCTTAGAGATTGTAATAGTTTTATTTAAAAACACCTCACCTAGGCAAAAAATAATGGGGGTTTAGTTACATTATATGATCATATATTGCATAAGCCTGCCACAACGTCAATGTACCCCATTCTTGGCAGGTCCTACTCTAGCAGCCTAATGCTTGCCCTTATGAGATTAATCCACTTACTTGGGAAATACTTCCTTACTGGGACTCTCTGCAAGTCAAGGCTAAATAGGGCCAGCCCCCAACAGGACCGCCGGGCTTGTAATGAGCCCGGTGGTCCTGGTCTGTATTATGGCAATGTAAGTTGCCAAAATACAGACATTGACTCGAGTATAAGACGAGTGGGGGTTTTTCAGCACAAAAAAAGGGGTGCTGAAAAACTTGTCTTATACTAGAGTATATAGTGTGTGTGTGTGTATATGTATATGTATGTATGTATGTATATATATATATATATATATATATATATATAATTTTATTTTATTTTTTATTATTATTATTACCTGGTGAGAGAACCAAGTGTTTAGGTCTGTTTCATTTTTCTTGAATAAGAGATTATGCAGTGCTGTAAAATTCACGGCCGATGCGTATGGGCTGATTTCGCCTTGGGGATGAAATTACCTACAAAGACATGATAACACATATGTAATATGCTCGTTTGGGCTATGGGTGTCTATTTATTTATTTATTTTTATTGGGTTCTATACTAGGTCAGATTTCTTGTTGTACCAACCCGCCTGAGATAGCCTATGAATAACATACCGTATTTTACCGACAATCCCTTGTGCTTGGATGCTTGTTTGCTGTATTTGAGAGCAAAATCCTAATTCCTGCAAGGACATGACCATACTGTTTAACTTACTTCTTAACTATGTATTTGATGTTCTACATACCTGTAAGTGCTTTTAACAACAAAATTTAAGTAAGACCTTGTTATATTACAACATGCTGAACATTTATGTTATACGTGCCTCTTTAAGGTTTTAAAGGCCATCTGATGTAGCTAACATATGAATGATATATTGCAACGGTATGTCTTAACAACCGAATGCACTGAGTGAATGGGACAGAGGAATGGATACCCCTGGTTAAGCTGATATATCTAATGAACAGTATTTAACGAAAGGTTTTAAACTAAATGACTTTTAAACTAAATGACTATTTAAACGTAAAGACTTTTAAACGAAATTATTTCTAACAAAAGACTTTTAAACTAAATGGCTTGAACCGAAATGATTTATAAACAAAATGACTTTTTAACCGACATGACTTTTAATAACCTGTCTTTTAAACGAAAAGACTAATTAAATGAAATGGATAAAAAGTAATACGTCTGCACGAAAGGGGTTACATGACTAGATTAATATGAATAGTTTTATATGAATGCTGTAACGAAATTATATACACTAAATAGTTCCTGCGACTTGATTTAAACGAAATGATCGGTCTGAACCATGTGAAATAACAGCAAGATTTAAATGAACGCCATTCGAAAGTATTAACTAAATGCAAAGCAAAGGAACCGAGTTAGCCGAACAGCATAATAAAGCTAAACGGTGGGAGCCAATCCGTCACTCAAACAGTAACCAAGCACTGTCAGCAAAATATGGAGGTAAGTTGAGAGTTTATATAGGCCGGTTGCAACCCTTCCGACAACTACAGGCTCTGCCTTCCCATATATCCCCCCCTTTTATATGTCAAATAATGATTAAAGTAACAGGGTGTTCTTTAAAGTTATCTTGTTGAGCCCTCTGTAATCTATATACGGCCGTAGGTCTCATTTTTTGCACACGAAGAAGAACCCAGCACTTGCAGGAGAGGATACGTAGAAAAACCTAGTACTTGCAGGAGAGGATACGTAGAAGAACCTAGTACTTGCAGGGTAGATCTACGTATGAACACTTTCTCTAATGAATTCTCAATTTATTACTCCATGATTGTATTCTCTTGGGGTAATAAAGGCTAAACCCAGCCTTTAGGAGGGATAGTGCCTGGTAGGAGATCAATGGAAAAGTCATAGAATCTACAAAGTGGTAACTTGTCTACCGCCTTCTTAACAAAAGCAGAACTGAGGTGTAAGTAAGGAGGCGGTATTGCTGTGGATAATGGTGGAGCAGTGGGAACATTGATAGAACGCAGTGGTGTGATTTTGCACATACGCATTTCCTTATGAGTACTCCATGAAACTATTTGTCCCTGTTTCCAATCTATATTGGAGGTTATGTAGACAAAACCACGCTTAACCCAATACAATAGAAGAGAGAGAAGCTAAGACCTGGAAACATTACTTCTCTGTGTGCAATAAACCAGAATGCATATGCAAAAGCTCAGTCTCTTGTGTAATAATAGGAGAATATATTAGGTTACCATCTACGGCCTCAAAGCAAAGGTATCTCCGTCTCTCTTAATGTGAGTGTATGGATATTGACAAAATCTTTGTCTATAAATGTAGTGGTTGCTCCTGAATCAATTAAAGCTTGTATGACAATTGATTTATTTTCCCAAAACCAGGTGATAGGGAGAAGCAATTGATTCTGAGGCAGGAAAGGGGACTTGGATGTCACACCCAAGGCCAGTTCCCCGAGGAGGTGTGAGAATTTCCCGGGCGCACCAGATAATCATTCCTGAGAAGCTGTTTCTTTCCACAATAGCAGCAGAGTTCCTCCTTTTTCTTATATTGTTTCTCTGCCTCAAGCCTCAAGTAGCTTGTTTGATCCAGCTGCATGAGTTCAGAATCTGATATAGAAGAGGTATCGGGAACTGTACCCCTAGGAGTAAGAACTACAGCAGGACGTCTGACTCTATTTCTCCTATGCAGATGTATTTACAATGATTATCTATGTCAATTAGGTAATTGATACGGTCCTCCAAAAGTGCTGGAACATCTCTGCCACCTCCTCTAGGATAATATCGTTAAACCCCTCCACAAACGCAGATACCAACCCACTGTTGGTTCTATCCACCTCTGACGCAAGTGTGTGGAAATCGATAGCATACTGGGCTTTCAATTTGTTTCCCTGTTTTGACTGCACTTTCCTCCATATCTGGTGGGTCAAACTCTTTACGAAAAGCTATTAAAAAAAAAAAAAAACTCTAGTAGTCATATACAAGAGACCTATTTGCTTTCCGTAACGGATTAGCCCACTCCAAAGGCCTTGTCAGTAAGAGGGTACATGAATAAATCTTAGACATTTCAGTAGGAAAAGACCTTGGAGACATTTTAAAATAGAATTTTACTTGATTGATGAACCCTGTACAAGTTTGGGGATCACCTCCAAATGTAGAAGGTGTGGTCAGGTTAGTGGGACATACAGAAGCTTCCAGTACAACAAGCACTCTGTAGTGGCATAGGTGCAGGGTTATCAGGAGAGAGGTGAGCAGTTTTTCATAATGCCTGGAATGTCTGAGCGAATTAATCAGTTTTATGATTTAATTCCTCAAACTTTGCCTCACAAGAAGTTCGTTGAGATCCCATTCTTGCAGCGTATATGGTGTAATGTCACAGGGTTGACTTTCCAGCCTTCAGTAAATTGTGAATTCCACAAACTGAGGTTCTCTAGATCATTGGTTCCCAACCCAATCCTCAAGTACCCCCTAACAGTCCAGGATTAAGGGATTACCCAAATGTGTCTAAGGTGCTTTTAGAAGAGAGAAGAAAAAAAAATATTTGAGATACAACCGTGTAATCCCTAAATCCTGGACCGGTAGGGTGTACTTTAGGACTGGCTTGGGAACCCCTGTTCTAGATAAATATATTACTGTGCCTTAGAGTGGCAGACTTGATGTTACTAAAGGTAGAGATAAGGTCAAGAATATAGAAATAAATAACTAGCAGGCTCAGGATACCAGCAGTACAAAAAGGCAAATACACGTCGAGATCAACATAAAAATAGCAAGAGAGACTTACTATAAGCACTAAAGTGTATTGAGGCAGAAACCACAATAGGGCTAACAAGGTTTCTGATTGGTTCACGTTATCTCTGCGACTCCAAAATAATTGATAATGGGATCGCCTGGATGACGTGGTCACAGTTAGGGCGGGTGTGACATCACAACATTTCAATTGATAAAAGACGCAAAATTAAAAGGACCGCTTCCGTATATATTTAATTCCCCTACTTTAATCCTTTGTGTCACTATACCCCACTCCCTCTAGCATGTAAGCTCATCGAGCAGGGCGCACAACCCCCTCTGTTCTTGTACGTCCAGTGGTCTGATCTCAATTATGTGTCTGTTAGTCCACCCATTGTACAGCGCTATGGAATTTGTTGGCGCTATATATATATATATATATAATAAAATAATAATAATATATTCTAATACATGTATAATTGTTAAAACGACATTTTAGACACTCACAATAGTGTCTTGGAACGCTATGTTTGTTGCTCTTTTGCATACCACTAAAATGGCCTATAAATTGATTGTGTAGTAAACTACATTTTTACTATTACAATTAATAAATGATTTATATATATTTACTTTTTCTTAAAAAACTTTTCTGTAAATTTGCTTTTAAAACATGAGATAAAAGGTAAGAATTGTTTAGGTGTAAAACCCCAAAGTTTCTGTTTTTTTGGATGTGGCAATGACATCACTTGCAAATGTAAGTCCAATAAAGTAGAGGATTTTAAAAGTAATATTACAGAAAAAGGTTTTAAGAAAGATGCCAACTATGGTGGAGTTACTGCCCTTTAACTGGGCTTTAAAGTACAAACACAAACTACAACATCCACAATGCAACGCGTTTAAAATGACAGTGTATACTTCCGCTTAAATAATCCCCAGGCACCTCTGCACAGAGGTTTTGCTTTTATTAAACGCTCGTTTACATGTTAGTTGTGTGTGCTGAGTATTGTGATTGTGTTATTTGCGGCTGACATGGGCGGGAAGCCCAGTTTTGAGGGGGCAGCGAGTCTGGCGGAGGGATAACGAAGTGACCTAGGAAGTGAGCCTGTCCGATTTTCGCGCCTTTTTGGCGGCGGCGAGGAGGGTTCTGGGAGGGAGGTTGTCTGAGATCCTGTAAGGATTTTGCGGGGGGGAATCCCAAGGAAAGTCCGGAGACGGAGCGGCAGAGATGCAGCGAGACGAAACGGACCCCGAGTCCTCCAGCTCCTCGGACGGGGGCCCCGGGGGGGCTGTGCGGGAGCAGCTGGAGAGCCTGTGCCGGGAACTGAACCTGGACCAGGAGACCGAGAGGGAGGCTCTCAGGGACTTCACCTCAACATGGAGCACGTACAGCCTGGAGGTGGGGGGCCGGGACATGCCAGCTACAGGGGGAGGGGGCAGCCATAGCTCACCTGAGGGGGGTGTAAATGGGAGGTGGGCTAGGTGCAAGCTATGTACACGGATATAAATAGCACCTACAGGGGGTAAATGGGAGGGGGGCTAGGTGTAAGCTATGTACACGGGATAAGGGGGGCTAGGCACCTACAGGGGGTAAATGGGAGGGGGGCTAGGTGTAAGCTATGTACACGGGATAAGGGGGGCTAGGCACCTACAGGGGGTAAATGGGAGGGGGGCTAGGTGTATGTCACCTACAGGGGGGTAAATGGGAGGGGGCTAGGTGAATGTCACCTACAGGGGGTAAATGGGAGGGGGCTAGGTGAATGTCACCTACAGGGGGTAAATGGGAGGTGGGCTAGGTGAAAGTCACCTACAGGGGGGTAAATGGAAGGTGGGCTAGGTGAAAGTCACCTACAGGGGGGTAAATGGAAGGTGGGCTAGGTGAATGTCACCTACAGGGGGGTAAATGGGAGGGGGCTAGGTGTATGTCACCTACAGGAGGTAAATGGGAGGGGGGCTAGGTGTATGTCACCTACAGGGGGTAAATGGGAGGGGGGCTAGGTGTATGTCACCTATGGGAGGTGGGCTAGGTGTATGTCACCTACAGGGGGTAAATGGAAAGTGGGCTAGGTGTATGTCACCTACAGGAGGTAAATGGAAGGTGGGCTAGGTGTATGTCACCTACAGGAGGTAAATGGAAGGTGGGCCAGTTATGTAAAACCCACAGAGGGCATAGTGGAAGATGGACTAGATGTCTGCTACCTAATAGGAGGTGAGCTGGGTAATAGGCCAGGAATACAAAACACAGAGGCTGATGAGGTGTGAGATGGGTCAGGATAAGGTGGGAGAAAATCAAATACCATGTAGATTGGGAAGTCACAGGTATGTGTCATATAGTGGAGTCTGCTAATGTTATCTAGATATAGCAAGATAGTTGATGGATATAGGTAGTCAAATGGCACGGTTATGGGTTAGGTGGGTATATGCAGTCTAGTGGGTGAGGGTCCTGGTTTATGGCACCTATAGAGGTTAGCCATATGACAACTAGTTGGTGAACGTTGGAGATAATGACCATGTGCAGTCTGATTCTAAATGTTATGTAAAAAAGGTGGGTGAAGGGTTGGCTAACCACTGGCATTTACAGATTGTAAGTCTTTTTAAGGAAGAACCGCGTGTTATGAATTACCTGCCATTTTATATCACACTTTTAATATTGTAAAGTGCTGCGACATATGTTACATAAATTATGATAATTACACTTTCTTGGACCACATTTTCCATTATGATCAACTATTTTACGATGTACAACAAGCACCAAAGGTTACGTTGGCATACACCAGTTAGAAGTTTTATGGCTATGTTGAAAACTAGTGATGTCCCGAATGGTTCGCCGCGGATGGAGAACATATGCGGTAAACTTTGACCCTGTACCTCACAGTCAGCAGACACATTCCACCTCCTGGACAGCTCACTAAGAATGCAGCTTCACAATGAATGTAAAATGGATGCTGTCCAGGAGGTGGGAGGGTCTGGGAGAGAGGGTCTGCTGCTGATTGGCTGGAATGTGTCTGCTGACTGTGAGGTACAGGGTCAAAGTTTACCGCATATGTTCGCCGTCCGCGGCGAACCGTTTGGGACATCACTATTGAAAACAACGCATAGAGCAGTGGTTCCTGAACCATAGGACAGTAGCCTAGATTTGGTCCCTCATGTTTAGAACATGTATATCAAACTCTTCAGGTCCCATGCATTGCTAAAGTGATCAATAAACTTAGTGTAACTTCACTACGCAAATTTAGCGGAGACATCTTACACTGTGAAGAAGAGATGTTTACAGAAGTTAATTTTGATATATACTATCTAGCAACTGAAGAATGGTTCACTGAGATAATTATAGACCCACTGATCTTGAATCTCTGGTAGATGAGGAGGAATTAAATTGCATGTAGTGGATTTTTTTCAGTATAAAGATAGGCCAAAGTGATATTAACTTACTGTTTTTGCATGTATGGTAGATTTATATTTTAGGGGTTTGAGTTTTTATATGCAACAGGTGCATACAGCCTATGTGGTCTGCAACAACCTTTGCGCAAGGATAAATAAACCAGTATTTTATGGTAACTTTTTAAACTGGTTTACGAATAAGAAGTTATTTAAGCAACTTTCTAGTAAACCTAAAAAAAACTAATCTAAAGTCTGAACCTACTCTGAGGGATTGAATGCACAGTGAAAGCGAATTTCTATTATTTTTATAAAGTTTAAAATTAATCAGTAGTGTTGGATTGCAAGTAAACAATGGTGATATTGACAGAAGCAAAAGGTGTGAAGGTATCTACTCATTGAAGGGCTTTGAAATACTTTTTTCTTTGGCCACCTAAAAATGTATCTAAAATAATGTATAATTTTCTCTTTATTAGGGTGAAATGAAACATTGGTTAGCCTGTGCCTTGTATGCTGCATGTCGAAAAAGTGTAATCCCAACTGTTGGGAAAGGACTTATGGAGGGGAATGGTGTGTCACTGACTCGTATTTTGCGTTCTGCAAAGCTAAGGTTGGTTGTCAGCTGTATTTTTTTTTTTTTTTTGTTTGTTTTGTTTCTAAAATTCAGAATACATGTTAACCATGATGCCACAGCAGCTGGTATGGATACACCTGTGGTTCCCAACAAGCTGTTTTGCTGCCTGTATGTCATGGGGAATGCTGTCTGTAACAGCTGCAGTGTCAAAGGTTATCAGCTCGGTTTTATTCAACATGTTTGTTTTTGGTTTATTTTTCCATGTCCTTGATTTGAAAGGAAATAAAGTGGTAATGTATTTTATCTTTCCAATATGGTTTAAATCTCCTTTTATGTACAAACTCTTTGCAGACAGAAAGGCTTTACCAGATAGTTAACCCATAATGTGCTCACATTTTGTAAACATTTGTGTTCAAGACTTAAGTAGATTGCACAAAATGGATTTGCATTTTTGCAATAGTTTAAATGTATTTGAAATGAGGAGATTGTACCTCAAATATTATATTAAAACTCACTTTGAATCCAGCGCAGGGATCCACAGTCTGAATTGCCTACTCCTACATTATGATTTATTTTTGTACAATGAAACGCTTCCCATAGGAAGGCATTATTGGATCTATGATCCTTGCATGACAATTGCCATTGTCTGCCACTGGAATGCTAATCCTAGTGAAGCATTTATTTCAATGCTTCTTATGAGAAAGATTGAACGCTATACCTTTCTAGCGTTGAGCTGAAAGAAAGCTCACTGCTCAATGCCTGCCCTCCTCCTTCTCTTTTCAATACAGAAATCAAATTTTTTTAAAAATTAAATAATTATGCCATATGAATAGCTCCATATGCCTTTGTATACAGGCATAGCCACATCTATTCCTCTGTATAAGGCCTTGACAAATTCAAGGTCACCATGGTGACTAGGAATTCTATTCTGGCACCTGGAATTTGTGAGCCCGTTCTCTCAAAAGCAGAGGTTACTGAGGGAAAATGCAGGTGGCTGGCTCAGGGAGTGTGGAGCCAGGTACCAGTAATTTTCTTGCTCTACTCTTTCACGCACCCTGCAATGATGCCTGGAGCTGGAATGTGACCACACTGTGCAGCACTGGACTAGGAAGCACCTTGAGTGGCTGCCACTAGTGGTGTTACTAGGCAGCAAAGTAATCACTGCCTTTTCTCAGAAAAGGCAGTGTTTACAATGAAAAGCCTGTAGGGAAATACTATCAACACCATTAAGCTGTAGTGGCTCTGGTGACTATAGTGGCTCTTTTTAAGAATTTTTTGTTGCTTAATAAAATAAACATCCATAAGGGCCTTGGTCCGTCCAAGGCCTCTTCATAAGGGCCTAGGCCCGCCCAGAGTGTGAAAAGTGCTGGCACATCAATATAGTGATTTACAAAGACACCAAAGACTGCACTTTTCATGTCCTGAACAGCATAAACTATTTTTTTCCCAAAACCCCTACAATATAATATTTTAGTAAACTGATGTGCAGGGTGTGAAAAGTGTTGCCACACCAGTAGTGGTTTTAAATGTCACTGGGGGCAGCACTTTTTGCGCGAAAGGAAAAAAAATATTTAACTACTCTACAAACATAAAACTGAACTGACAGGCAACTCCATTTGTGTAAGTTGTAGAGAGCAAAATGTAAATGAATATACAAATAAAGAATTGTAGAAGTTCTTAAAAAAACAACTTTCAACTAGAGCAGCGGTTCCCAACCCGTGGTACGCGTACCCCCAGGGGTACAATTCGAAAAAGTCGCGTCACTGGCGGCGGTACAGTCGCACTGGAGGGCTGGGAACCTGGCTGAAGGTCCATCAAGTGGCCCATGCACTCAGGGCCACCCGATGGAAATGTGCCATGAGGGGCCCCTTGTAATGTGCAGGGGCTGGGAGGAAGAGCGGGTACCTCCTCCCACATAAACTAATCTGCCGCGCGGGAGGGAGAAAATGGGCTGCCAAGGGGTACTCAAGTGAAAAAAAGGTTGGGAACTACTGAAATAGAGCAACAGAATAATTCCCAGCATTCAGCCCCACTCTAATCCCTTTTATGCTTTCTCATTGGTAAGATACACATATCTACCTGTCCTGATTACCTTTAGAAGCCGCATTGACCTGGATCATTGTACAGCTAAGGCAACTGTCTGTTCACACAGCAGCAATGTAGGGAAGTGATTTCATATTACTTCCTCCCAGAGCTCACAGAAAGTCATTTCAAGCATTTGCTTCCACTGGCTCATAGGGAAGCCACCCTCCTGCTGCAAAAAGATAGGCAAACAGGGTGGATAAAATCTGAGTTTGTGTATATGTGTTTTACTGTTTGTTTTTCTATTTAATTGTGTGTGTGTGCACAATACATATAAGTGTATACATGTGTTGAAGTGTGTGCCTGTGAGTGTGTATAGCAGTGTATAACAGAGGGCGATCTTTGTACGTGTGTGTGTGTGTGGCCACAATACGTATAAGTATGTCTGGGAGTGCATAACAGGGCAATCTGTGTGTGTGAGTGAATGTGTATTTGCATATGTTTTGGCGTGAGCAGGTGAAATTTTGAAAGTATAGCATACCAGTGTGTGCAAGTCTAGGAATGTGTATATGTCAATAGGTTTGTATGGGTGCTCATGTCTTGTCATTTGTGTCATGTAGCACTCCCCATATGGTTCTGCATAGGATCCTGCAATTTTTGATGGCAGCTGTGCTAACACTGGGGATACAGCTACAGTTCTTGTGTAATGGCTACATTTACTACTAAGGTTGTGCAAGGTTATGTGTAATAAACATTTTAGTGTAGTGTAGTGGTTAGGTTGTGAATGGTTCCGCAGCATATAGTGACCAACCTGGGACCCTGATTTACTTTTGCAACATTCAGAAACCGTGTAAGAATGAACAGTGATTCATTGCTCGAGGACTCTAGGCAACAAACTACTCCAATGAGTTTGACTGTTGACGCCTGGAGATTTGAGGCAGGCGCATGAGGGAGCTGTAACAACCTCCCTGCTCCGTTCCCTTGCACGCACTCCAGTGATGCCGGGAGCCGGAATATGACTTCATTCTGGCACCTGCATTAATAAACAGCACTCTATGGAGCATTGTAGGGAGATGACTGAAGCCCCACTGGACCACAGGAAAGCTAAACCCAGGTAGGGAGGCTGGGTAGTCACATAAATGTGTGTGATTATTGCAGTGACTGTGTGTGTTTAGATGACTGGTCCCCCTCCAATCACATGGGAAAGAGGTTTTTACTCACCTTTTCTACCCACGCTGTGCTGATCTCGCCGCAGCTGGCCCTGCCTCCATAACTGTGATCATCAATCTTGATGATCTCCGCCAATCCATTGCTTTCCCATAGGAAAGCATTGGGAGGCTGTTGCACATATGTGGCAAAATGCCATGCTGCACCAATAAGCATCTCCTCGGGGCGTGGAGACGTAGGTGCTGCGCACTGTGCAGCACTGACCCAGGATGCACTCCAGAGGCAGTCTGAGTGTCACTAGAAGTGTTACAAGATAGCAATGTAAATACTGCCTTTTCTCTGAAAAGACACTGTTTATATTGAAAAGTGTGCAGGGACAGATTAGACACGAGAACAACTACATTAAGCTGTAGTGGTTCTGGTGACTATAGTGTCAGTTTAAAAAATTTATTTTTGACATTGAGAAACCAGGCTCCTAGATTCCAAGCAAATTTGTCAAGCCCTGTTATACCACCTGACTTTCCAAACAGGGCCTGTTACATCCTTGTTTGCTTGGCTCAATAGAGCTAATCTCGAGGCAGCCATTTTCAAAGAGCACTTTGATGTAATGTGATTTCATGGATTTATTTATATTTCTGGTGTTTTGCAGTCTTATTGAGTTTTTTAACAAAATGAAGAAATGGATGGACATGTCAAACCTACCACAACACTTCAGGGAGCGTGTGGGAAGGCTAGAGAGGAACTTCGAGGTTTCTACTGTAATCTTTAAGAAATTTGAACCAATGTTCAAGGAACTATTTCAGAATCCAGATGAAGATCCTCCACGGCCCCCGAAAAGCAGAAAGCAGAGGTGAGATACTGGTAAAAGGGCTAAATAAGGTTATAAGTTTCAGGCTGTTTCATGCTCCTAAATAATGTGCGCCACTTCCAGTGTATAGGTGGCAATTTTTGTTTTGTTTAATTCAGTGTCAGATTGTGCCTTATCAGCTTTGCCTTTGATGCAGAGGGTTGAGGGGAGGTAAGGATGAATAGAAAATATATATATTTTTATTTATTTAAAGAAAGGACCAAATTACATTTGTAAATGGAAAAGTAACTTGAACACAGGGTGGTGCTGGGGCTGCAGTTAAGTTGATAGGTGTTTTGCAGTGTGTTTTAAAAATTTTTTTTTTTTTTTTTTAAATCTTATTGTCTTCATGTAGTTTAATTATTTCTAAACCATTTTTGAAAGATGTATGCATCAAAAATAAGCTGTGATTTTGGTGTACTATTGTGAATTTTTTTTTATTTATTTTTTTTGAATATCCTTGCCAAACCTGGAAATCTAGAGCAGTGATTGCTAAACTTTAGGAATGTAGTTTATGAAACCTTTTGCCAGTGTTTAGAGATCTTCGTTCTTGAACTAGCATGTTCTCTCATATTTTTCCCTTTTTGCTTTGCAGGAAATTGCAGTGCAACGTTAAATCTCTCTTCAAGTTCGCTTGGACCTTGTTTGTATATGCAAAGGGTGAGAGAATGTATGGATTTAAATGCAATAGTCTTATTCATGACTTTCTACACTAACTTGTATTTTAAAGGTGGGCAGCCAATATGGAATTGACATAAGTATTCAGATCCTATTACTTACTTGAAACACATTTGGCAGTAATTACAACCTCATATTTTTGGGTATGATGCAACAAGCTTTGTATAGCAGCATTTGGGTACTTTTTGCCATTCATTTCTGAAGATCTTCTCAAGCTCTGTCTGGTTTGATGGGGACGGTTGGCATACCGCAGTTTGCAGATCTGGGTCCGGCTGTGTACTTAATTGTTATTGTCCTGTTGTAGGTTGAGCCTTTTGCCCAGGCAAAGGTCTTGAGTCCTCTGAACCAAGTTATCATTAAAGATAATTTTTTTTTTTTTTGCTTTGTTCAGCTTTCTCAAACATTTTCCCCAACCAGTCTCCTTTTCTTTGCTGGCAAAAAACACTCAGAGAGTGAAGTTACCACAACTATGCGTTACCTTTTGAGATGGTATTGTGAAGTTATTGATCAGGTCCTGGTCTCCTCCAAAGATGTTTTGTATTAAGACCAAACTGCTCAATCTTAATTTCATCAAGCCAGGGAATGTTTATCGCAGTTTTTTATTACTTATTATTACAAGCACACGTTAATGTGTTGTCACGCGTATCGCTACGGCGGTATTCCTGCATTCTAAGGGGAATACTGCCAAACACTCACCGGAGATGTCCTCTCCTCTCTCAGCGGCCAGGCCTGTATCATTAAAGACGCCGGCTGCTGCAGCTGTGAATCATTTAAGGGTTTCCTGTTTAACCCTTAAAGGGCCAGATCAATTAATTTAGTATGGGTGTTGATCACGTTCCCTACAGCCAGGAAACGCCTTTAGCTATTTAAACCTAGTTTGCCCATTTCTCAATGCCCTGTCGTGGTTTCCAGTTGGTTATCAGAGAGCGCGTTCCTTGTATTGATTTCTTGTGCATCTGACCTTGGCTTCCCTTATTGACTATCCGATCTCTGTATTCCTGGACTCTTGGCTTGGCTCCTGACTATTGTTATCTCCATTCCTTGACCTTTGGCTTGTTTATCGTTTGCGTTATGCCTTTCTCTTTGCTTTTCCCTTTCTTGTGTCTTTTGCCTTTATACGTTAAATCCGGCCATTCTAAGGCCTGGTAATACGTCTTAGTAATCTTGACGTGTCTTGCATTGAGAAGAAGCTTACATGTAGCCATAAAGGCCAGATCAACGGAATGTTGCAGCGATGGTTGTTCTTCTGCAAGCTTCTCCACAAATGATCTCTGGAGCTCACCTAGCGTAAAAAATTAGTCTTACCAAGGCCTGCCTTCCCCAGTTGCTCAACTTGGCTGGGCTGCAAGCTGTAGGAGGAGTCCTGGATTTTTCAAACTTCTTCCTAAAGAATTGTATAGGTCACTGTGATCTTGGCAACCTTCAATGCAGCCAGATGTTCTTTGTTGCCTTCCCCAAACCTGAGCCTCTGAGCAATTTTGACAGCAGATTATACTTCTTTTTTTTTTCTTTCTTTTTTTATGTGGGCCTTCTCAAAATTGTGTCTAACGAATCGAAATTCCACATGTGGACTCATATTTCAAGTGTTGTAGTACTTCGCTCTCTGATGTATCCCATTTCTCTGGATCATCTTTGCTGTATCTTTACTCAAATATGTCTGAATACTTGTCAATTAAATATTTTCTTTAAATTTAAGTGTAAAGTTTAAAAGAAAAGTCATATGGGGTATTGAATGTAGACGATGTGGAAAAAATGTGAACAGTTGTACGATAAGACTGCAATAAATAATGAAGGTGTCTGAATATTTTCTGTACGCACTGTATATGTGGCAATGCAGTCTCAGCTATATACAAACAATTGTGTTGCCTAAACAGACGCTGCATGGCCAATAGGAAATGGAAATCCTGTGTCTTTTGTAGTTCTTTAAGAAAAGAGAAAAAAAAGTATTTTAATGTAGAAACATGTAAATATAAATTTTTGAAATGACTAATAGATTTGTTTTGACGTTTTGTGAAAACTGTCATTCAGGTAATTTCAGCTTAATCGGCAACGATTTGGTTAATTGTTATCATTTGCTCTTGTGCTGCCTGGACCTTGTTTATGAACACACACAGCAGTGCCCTAATAAAGAAGAACTGTTGAACCCAGATTTTGCAGGTGAGTCTACACAACTATGGATATATGGCCCTAGTATGACTGGATCCATCGCAATTGTATTACCGTATATACTTGAGTATAAGTCGAGTTTTTCAGCAAATTTTTTTGTACTGAAAAACCCCCACTCGACTTATACTGGAGTCAATGTCTGTATTATGGCAACTTATATTGCCATTATACAGACCAGGAGCTCCGGGCTCATTACAAGCCCGGCGGTCCTGTTGGGGGCTGGCAGCGAGCTGTAACTTACCTTTCCTGCAGCTCCTGTCAGCTCCACTGTAAATCTCGCGAGAGACACTGGGTCAGAGCGTTGCCACGGATTACCATGGCAATGCTCCGTGCGGCAGTCACACCACGAGACTTACAGTGGAGGAGAAGGGAGCTGCAGGAAAGGTAAGTTACAGCTCTCTGCCAGCACCCCTCCTACACAGCCCATCCACTGGACCACCAGGGAATGAGAGCCCCATTCCCTGGCCAGCTAAGAAGCAGGGAGGGGGCGATGAAAATAAAAAATTAAATAATATTAAAATAAAAAAATTAATATAAATAAATTTTTTTTTTTTTTAAATGCCCACCCCCCCACCAAGGCTCTGCATCGCATACACACACACACACTGCATGCATTCACACGCACACACTGCATACACACACACACACACACACACACACAAGCTGCGTTCATTATATATATATATATATATATATATATATATATATATATATATATATACACACACTGTAAATAAATATTCAATTAATATAATATTTTGGGGATATAATTTTATTTAGAAATTTACCAGTAGCTGCTGCATTTCCCACACTAGTCTTATACTCGAGTCAATACGTTTTCACAGTTTTTTGGGGTAAAATTAGGGGTCTCGACTTATATTCGGGTCGACTTTTATACTCTAGTATATACGGTATTATTAAAAAAAAAAAAAGTGTTTATTTCACCTTAACCACAATGGTTTGATTATGTGCTAGTGGTGCCTTTGTTTTCATTGGGGATACAGCCAAAATGGCTTACAGAAACTGTTGGAAGCCTTAGCATGTCCTCCACTTGTAACTCCACCCAGACATTCTGTGGCTATCAGATTACAGACTTCCCAGTGCAGCCCAATAAGAAGTATTTGCAACATAGGTGCTTTCAGCTATTGCCTGCCTCTTGAGTTTAGTTCCACTTAAAGGGACGCTATAGTCAGTTGGTGGGGAAAAAGGGAGGGCTTGTAAAGACTCCTGATTGTTTGCTGTTTTTTTTACACCCCACTTAAAACATGCAGTAAAACAATATATTAATGTTTAAGCGTATTTTCTTTTATCCAACAGCAAACCTCCCTACTCGGGATGGTAGCCCAGAGGATCCACCTTGCATCATCACTGCATTGTGCGAGATGTACGGTGGAATTACAGTTGAGGCCAAGGGGATTAAAGAACATTACTTCAAACCATATATTGCAAAGCTTTATGATAGAATGGTATGTACTGTGATAATTGCACACTTTTGTACTTTATATTATGTTAAAGAGAACTATAATTTTAATTTAAAATTTTATTTTTTGCCATTTTAACACCAGATTTTAAAAGGGGAATGCCTCTTGGATCTCTCTGCTTTTACAGATAACAGGTGAGTCGGATACTTAAAATAGTTTCACACGTAATGTTTTAACTTTTTCAATGCTTATTTTTGTTTTCAAAATTGGATACCATTTGTTGTGATTTATTGATCTCAATATTAGAAATCTTCTGTAAATATACTTTTCTACTGTATCCCACTATTTCCAACAGCAAAGCCTTGAATAAAGAGTATGAAGAATATGTTCTAACAGTTGGCGATTTTGACGAACGAGTGTTTCTAGAAGCTGATGCAGAAGAGGAAATTGGAACTCCGCAAAAATTTTTGTCAATGTCTACAGGTGTCTGTACACCTCAGAAACTGACAGAATCAACCATGCAGCAACATTTTGATAAGGTGCCTTTTCTTTGTATTTTGAGAACACAATGTCTGTTAGATAGAGATATATATATATATATATATATATATATATATATATATATATATATATATATATATATATATATATATACATATATATATATGTGTGTTATTGCCGTTTTATATAGCGCCAACAGATTCCGTAGCGCTTTACATTATTATGAGAAGAGAGATATATATATATATATATATATATATATATATATATATATATATATATATATATATAATATGACAATTACAAGAAAACTTACAGGAACGATAGGTTGAAGAGGACCCTGCTCAAACGAGCTTACATTCTATAGAAAGTGGGGTATAAAACACAGGACCAGAAATGGCCATTAAATAATATTCATTACAGACTGTAACGGGGCGATATGGCTTTTGGGAAGACAAATTAGGAAAGGGTTACAGTAATCCATTCGGGAAATTACTAGAGAATGGACAAGTTCCTTGGTAGCATCTTGCGTGTGAAAGGGGTGGGTATGGGCTGTGTTTTTAAGATGGAAGCTGCAGGATTTGGCAACATACTGGATGTGAGGCCAGAATAAAGTACGACGCCAAGACAGCGCGCTTGCAAGGATGCACTTTTGTGGATACCACTAACTTGAAGGGAGAGCGAAAGAGTAGGATCAGTATTTTGAGGAGGAAAGACAAGGAGCTCAGTTTTAGAGAGATTGTGTATCAGAGAGCGGGAAGACATCCAGTCAGAGATGAAAGAAAGGCAAGCAGTGACATGTTGCAGGACGGCAGGGGAGAGGTCCGGGGAGGAGAGAGAGATCTGGGTGTCATCAGCATACAGGTGGTAGTGGAATCCAAATTAGGTAATAAGTTTGCCAAGAGAGGCAGTATAAAGAGAAAATAGAAGGGACCAAGGACAGAGCCTTGGGGGACTCCAACCTAGACAGGATGAGGGGAGGAGGTATCATTAGAAGAGTAGACGCAGAATGAGCGCTGGGAGAGATAAGAGGAAAACCACGAGAGGACAGAGACAGAGTGATGGAAGAGTTTGAAGGAGAGCATGATCAGCTGTGTCAAAGGCAGCAGAGAGGTCAAGAAGAATTAGTATTGAGTAGTGGCCTTTGGATTTAGCCGCGATTAGGTCTTTAGTAACTTTGATAAGAGCAGTCTCAGTAGAGTGGAGAGGTCGAAAGAATATATATGTATATCTCCCTCTCCCTAAATGTAAAATATATAAGAAGAATGAGACTTTAAAATGTAATCTTAAAACCCCACCAGAGGGCGCTAAACACCAACCTTTAAAATAATGTGTGTTTTTTTTTGTTTGTTTGTTTTAGTTTTTTTGGTGCAGTTTAATAATCGTGTTTACTATTGTCTTACAGGAAAGATCCTTTGCACCATCCACCCCACTGACAGGTAGGAGATACCTGAAGGAGAAGGAGGTTGTAATCACACCTGTTTCTTCAGCAACTCAGTGCGTGACTAAGTTGCAGAACATGGTTGCTGGACTCAAAAATGCACCAAGTGAACAGCTCATCAGTGTGTTTAAGTATGCATCATCATGTAATATTTTTGTGAAGTGAAATTTTTAAAGTAATTTTTATTTCCTTCCCCCTCCCCCCCCCTCCCTTTATCAATTTAAATACTTTCCAGGTACACTCAAATCACTATAATTTCTTCTCATTGCATACGTTCTAGTGGAGGAGGTCCTCTGTCTCTTTGAACATAGTAGCTTGTAACTGCAGTGAATTGCACAAATTTCAAAATGTTTGCATTTTTAATTCCCAGCATCTAAGAAGTAATCTACTCTTCTCATCTTTTGAAACTGTCAAATGAGAAGTCATTATGTAATGGGGGCCACATCCAGCTTACTCACCTCCCAGCAGCTCCCCAGTGTAACTCTCACGGAGCATTGCCATGGTAACCCGTGGCAACGCTCTGATGGCCGCGGGTCTCGCGAGAGTTACACTGGGGAGCTGAAGGGGCTTCTAGGAGGTGGATTGGGGGGGGGCAGCAATGAGCCTGGCGGACCTAGGAGGTATTATCAGCAATATCGGTATCTGGATTGGCCGGTACTGATATTGCCGAAAATACCAAATATCAGCAGATTATATCGGTAAAACCGATAATCGGTCGATCCCTAATTAATGCACTAGTCTAGTACTTTAGCTTAAGATCATTTTATCCACCTGAAAGTCTAAGCATCATGAAGAACACAGTGCACAACAGCTGAATTGCAAAGGTAGCCATGTCATGTAGGTAAATAATGAACTGAATTATTTGCTAACATAGGTGATTTGTAAGTAGCCTTGTTAAATGTAAAACTGTAATTTAAAAAAAAAGTGTGCTGTTCCTTTAACTGTATTTTGTAAATGTTTTGGTCTTTACGGCAGCACCACTGTTTGGAAATGCATGTTCCGGGTGTTCTCCCAATTCTCATATTTTCTATATAATGGATATATGCAATGACCTCCCTGTTTTGTGTGATAGTGGATGTAAACCACGTTATTTAAATCTGCAAATAATTTTTAGTGAAGTATCCTTAATTTGCAGCATTGGCAAGCACAAACAAGAATACATACTTACATTTAAAAGGCAATCTTTGGAAATGCTACGGTCATATATGGCTTGTATGCGGATTTAGTAATCTTGTCTAGGTAAAATGATCATTTACAGTATGAACATTTGTCTATCTTATGCAAGCCCTGTCGTATAATTTGGCTGCCATGTGAATGGGAAAAAAAATAATTCCATTTCTTTTCAGGTCTTGTGTTCGCAATCCAATGGACAATATATTAAATATTGTCAGAGATATTGGAAATAGCTTCTGCCAACACTACACACAATCCACAGAAGATCAAGCTGGTTCTCATATTGGTAAGCATATATGTGTATTGTCTTAGGGATATTACTATTTTAGTCTTGTATGGAAATGACCCTACCTAGCTGTCCATGAGCTAGAGCAATGTGGACTGCAAGGGTTATCTTGTTATCTTAGTTTCTGCAAATGATTTTGAAGACCTTTTAGATAATAGAATACAGATGAGATCAGAGACCTCATCAAGATATTGGAGTTAGACCTGGAATTGTATGTAACTGAGGTGAATCATTTTTTGCTCAGCTCACGGATATTGATATTTTTAATATCTTGTGTTTTCATAGTGGTCATTTAAAACACAAAAGAAAAGGGGGGGAAAAAAATCACACCTGTTATTCAGTTTTTTTATATGAAACTGGAATAATTTGTATTCTTTATAACCCTTTTACAGATTTTGCGATCAATAGACGTAAACTGGCAGAGATTTTGTACTATAACGTTTTGGAAACTATAGTGGATCAAGAGTTGCGTAGATGTCATGGAAAAGACATGTCGGTAAGATCCCCAGTTAAGTCAGTGTTCATTTATGGGTGGTGTTTTGTTTGTTTTTTTTGTTTTTTTTTTCCTCTGGGTTTTTTTAATGTTTGTTCTGGGGGAGGTGCTATTTGTTTTGATTTTTTTTTTTTTTTTTTTACATTTTTTTTTTTTTCCTCTCTCGTTTGTTGTACATTTTCCCTTACTTATTTTATCCTCTTGGATAACATTGGTGAAACTATAGTGCCAGAAAAACAAAGTTTTAACAAAGTTAAACCCCCCCCCTTCTGTCACTTACCTGATTCCAGTGCCGATATCATTCAGTGCTAGTTCAGGCTCGGCTTCTCCCCAACAGGAGTCAGCCTGTGGGGTAGACCTAATGCGCATGCGTGGCAAATTGGCCGTGCTCCCATTAGTATGTTCCTCCATAAGAAAGCATGTATAATGCATAGAGTGAGGATGTCCAGCATAAGTTAGGTGACCAAAAGTTGCCTGATGACCCAGAAGTTCCTCTTCTGGCTCTCTCGTAGATAGAGGTAGAGGTGGAGTTAACACTCAGAGGTAATTATTACACTTTATTAAAAAAAAAATAATAACCTTAGCAGGGTTAAGGGACCTGGGACACTGCACCCAGACCACTTCAATGAGCTGAAGTGGTCTGGGTGCCTATAGTGTCCCTTTAAGTGGGTGCTTTGCAGAGGAAGCAATGTAATATGACACAATCAGCAGCTTGCTAACTTTTTACATTAAATGACCACTATAGTGCCAGGAAAACATACTTGCTTTCCTAGCACTATAGGGTCTCTGGGTCCCCCTCCCGCCTGGCTCTAGTGGGTGGAAGGGGTTAAATCTTAATTGTTTTCCCCCGCCGTGCTCCCTCAGTGCGGGGAACTCTCCTCCTCCTTTTCCGCGCGCGCATTCAGCCAGTGTATAGGAAAGCATTCTCAATGCTTTTCTACGGATGCTGACGTCTTCTCACTGTGAAAATCACAGTGAGAAGCGCCTCTAGCGGCTGTCAATGAGACAGCCACTAGGGTCTGGATTAACCCATAGGTAAACATAGCAGTTTCTCTGAAACTGCTATGTTTACATCAAAAAGGGTTAAACCTAGATGGACCTGGCACCCAGACCACTTCATTAAGCTTGTCTTGATAAATTCTCATACAGAGACGCAACGGTCAGACGTTTGGTCCATCAACTTTATTCCCATCTGGATTGTTGATCTACATCTTTAAGGTAACCGCTGCCTTTTTTGAAGTTACCGGCCACAGCTTACCTCGTGTCTCCAGCTAGAGGTGTTCCCCTGTCTCGATTTAAGTATCGGAGAGAAGATTAGCCTGTCTAGGCAGCACAGCTAGCTGTGTGAATGCATACATATATGAGCACTCTGCTATTTAGGGGTTGAGCTCGCTGGTCATCTGGACCTCTGGGATCCTCACTGACTGCATCACATCTTTCTCAGCGTGGAGGGTGCCCCCCACGGATAAGTACTCTTAGTCATATGCATACTTGCTTTTTATGTTTGATTTATTATTTCATGCAGGATGATTTTATAATCTCAGATCTGTAGTACTCCATATTATTACTGTGACTTTATGCACATTTTCCTACCTGCTTTTTTTCCCCACTGTTTAATGGATTGATACCTTTTTTATAAGGGATTTCCCCTAAAGCATTTTAGCCCAAATAGTGTGGAGTTTGTACCTGTGTTTGTTGTTCAGGTTTACATACAATATCTACCTTGTTTGTTACTTCTCTACATTAGTAACACTGTGACTATAGTTATCTATGGCATTATAGTCACACAGATTTTGTAGATCAGTATCTAATGCTTACAGTAATATATTGTCCTTTTGAGGTTTGATTGTATCTAGTGTTTGTATTTATTAAAGTTCTATTTGCTCTTTCATTTGTGTTTTTATATTGTGTTTTTATAACAGGAGTGCTTACATGATTTATTCAAATTTCAGTTTGCTAGAATTCTGACATAAGTGAATAACTTAGCTTAAGACTGCAGAATGTTACTTTCAAGTTTATACAACATACTTTCCAAGTTGCTTGAATTATGACTTTAAATGTTTTCAGGTTCTTTTAGAACATGATATCTTGCATCGTTCATTGATGGCTTGTTGTCTCGAAATTGTACTTTTTGCGTACAGTTCTCCTCGCATTTTCCCATGGATCATTGAAGTTTTGAAGCTCAGTCCTTTTAACTTCTACAAGGTAACCCTTGCTTGACACTTTTTGGCATTTGCTTTCTTTAAATGATGAGGTAATCAGGTCAACACCTGGACTCCACTCTTGTGGCAAAATCCTTATCACCTTGTTTCTTTAGAGACCTATGTTCAAGGTTTAATGGTTATTTTGGTTGTATCATGATTAAATGGAGATTTATAAAACTAGAGGATTTGCCTATTGTAATTCCTCTAGATTTATAGTCCAAACACAGTACAGTAGTTTTAAAGCTGAGGGGGGGAGGGGGGGGTGTTGGGGTGCGTGTAGATCTATACATGCATATAAATGTGTATCTATTATAACATAAAGAGTGGTTGTCTCCGTTAAATGATAGCTCACATATTTTAAATCTCCGCAGGTCATTGAAGTTTTTATCCGGTCAGAAGATGGACTGTCCCGAGATATGGTGAAACACCTCAACAGCATCGAAGAGCAGATTTTGGAAAGCCTTGCCTGGACAAGTGATTCTGTTCTTTGGGAGTTGGTGGAAGCTACAGAGACTGTGCCAACTTATGAAGAGGTCTGTTTCTGCAGTTGCCTTATTAGAAATGGTTTATAATAGTACCGCATTGATGTGACCAATGAGTGTATATCATGGCATTTTATATGTATATTTTATATTGTGAGTTCAATACGCTGTAAGACTTTTAATATGTGTATTGTGTTGGGCGTGATATATAGATTTTTTTTATTTATTTTTTTTAAGCTCGTTATTCTCCAAACAGTCCCGTCCAACCACATAATCTTTCAAAACTCCACATCCACTACATCACGCAGTTCCATAATATAGTCCATGATTACAAACCTTTACTTGCCAGACTTATACTGTGAGTGTGTAGCACATTTCCCTGCATGGCTCGGGACCACAGTTCTCTGAACTGTGACAAATAAACTTTTGTGTGATTGTCTTTTGTGTAAGATCACATATTCCTGCATAGACAGAAGATGGATTTGCAAGTTGTGAGTAGGCTTTGGGAAATAGGTACTCGACACAACACATTATATTTTAAATAGTTGTTATCCAGAAAATGTGAAAAAAGAAAAAAAAAAAAGCACTCCAGCTATGTGAAGATCCGGGTGCTAAACTGGACCAACAGCTGGCCAGCACCAGCCCCAGAGAGTATCGGTGATAGAAAGAGGATCCAGGCACTCAAAGTATCTTTAAATTCATTTATTTAGAAAAGTGAGACACAACAGCGTTTCGATCCATGAAGGGGTCTTTGTCAAGCTACATCACACCAGAGATAACCATGTATAGGCAAAAGCATAGTGAAAATGTAAAACAAATTTCTTAAGTGATCAATAACAATCTATAATTAACATAGACTGAATTTACTATACCAATGTTTAATTATAGATTAATTGATCATTTAGTGAGTTTGTTTTACACTTTCACTATGCTTTTGCCTATAAATGGTTGTTATTTCTGGTGTGATGTAGCTTGACAAAGACCCTTTTAGGGGTCGAAATGTTGCTCCTCCACTGATGTTCACACATATAAGAAAAATGAGATGGAATATAGCGTTTTCTGCATAATATTAAATATGGATAGAATTGAAAATCTACTCTATTGTGCTTCAGGTAATGCCAGGAACAATGAACGAGTAATAAAAATAACAACAAAGGCTGGCAGGTTCAAAAACATAGGAACCTCAGGGCTTTATTGATAATAACAATATAAAATAAAAAATACAATAATCCAACAGTGCGTTTTATCAATAAGGCCTTTTCAAGTAGCTATGGGGAATGGGTACTTGACACAACACATTACATTGAAATAGTTGTAATCCAGAAAATGTAAGACATAAAATTTGTTTTTTAAAATGGAAGTGTATTTACTTATTGAACATCTGGTCACAAAAATCCATTGTACCTGCTGTTCTGGTGATTGCCATCTTGAAACCGATTGAGGAAAATAGACATTCACAGGGTTATGTACTGAACTCAGAATTGTAAAGAATTAAATCGGAATTAAAACTCTGTGACTATACTTAATATTGGGAATTTTTCTAAATCCGATATTATAGCCTTGAGTTTTAGCTCTAATTTGCTTAAATTCTTGGTTTACTTAATAGTCCTGTTAATTTTACTTGTATTATCACCTATCATTTTATTTACAACAGCGTTGCAGAGATGACTTCTATTTGGTGGTATTAATATTTTTCTTTTGTGTGTGTGTGTTTTGTTTTTCATATAAAGGTTATGATTCCCACCAACTTTGAATCTGGTAACGAAGCAGGTTTAGGCCATTTGCCAATGATGCCGGCTTCTCCAATAATTCACCCTCGTTTGAAAGAAGTGCGAACAGACCTGGGTGGGCCTTTCAAGCGGGGTAAGGATTGTTTTAAGTGCTTGTGCATGATTATTCCTGTCTGTAAAATCATAGATCCATTACCCTTAAAATAGTTTGAACTTTTTTGCAAAAAAAATGAGGCGGTATTGATGGTAGCCATGTGTTATTTCCTTATTTCCACAGAGATAAATGATCTTTTTATTTTCTTCCTTTTCTTTTGACTGTGGCAGTATATAAACCAATACATTCAGATGCACACTGAACAAAATAATAAACGCAACACTTTTTTTTGTTTTTTCCCCCATTTTTTATGAGCTGAACTTAAAGATCTAAGACATTTTAGAGTAGCCTTACATTGTGGCCAGCCTAAGGCACAGCTTTGCAATAATCATATTGACTAATCAGCATCTTGATATGCAACACCTGTGAGGTGGATGGATTATCTCGGCAAAGGAGAAGTGTTCACTAAAACAGATTTGTGAACAATATTTGAGAGAAATAGGCTTTTTGTGTACACAGAAAAAGTCTTAGATCTTTGAGTTAAGCTCATGAAAAATGGGGGCAAAAACAAGTGTTGCATTTATAATTTTGTTCAATGTATAACATTTTGCATAATCTAGTCTAAATTGGTGGCTTTGTGGATTGTTAATAAGCAGCTGTTAATGTAGGTAAAAACACTAAACTAGGTATGTGTTATCAAATTGTCACATTTGTTTTGCAGTCTGTCTGTATTTGATTCCAGAAAGTTGAAATAAAATGGCAGATTCATAAGTAGAGGAATATGAATTTTGAGTAGGCATAAGAAAATCTAATTTAATGGAACACTATAGGGTCAGAAACACAAACCTGTATTCCTGACCCTTTAGTGTTAAACCCACAATCTAGCCCCCCTCTCCCCCCTTGCCCCCATAAATATAGTAAAATCTTGTTTGTTCAAGTCTGCAGCTGCTGCCTCTTCCCCTGATCTGCCTGCTTGGCTGACATCAGAGGTCATTCTCTAAGCCAATCACAATGCTTTTGATTAGGATTGTCTGAGACTGTCAAAGAGGCAGATCAGGGGTAGTGCCAGCACAAACCAAACACAGCTCTGGCCAATCAGCATCTCATAGATCAATGCATCTCTATGAGGAAAGTTCAGTGTGTCTCTGCAGAGGGTGGAGAAACTGAATTGCGGTACTGCACAGTGTGCAGCACTGCCCCAGGAAGCACCTCTAGTAGCCATCTGAGGAGGGGCAGTGGAGTTATCACTAGGCTGTAATGTAAAGACTGCATTTTGTCTGGAAAAAAAGTGTTTACTGCAAAAAGCCCTAAGGGAATGATTCCACTCAGCAGAACAAATGCAACTAGAAAAGCTACAATTTCTGGGGAAATTGTGTAAAGGGTTCTTGCCTCCACCAGTAGTCTCCAACTGAAGTGGGCGGAGTAACTGTTTTTATTTATTTATATAGCACATTTAATTGCAACGTTGTTGCCCAAAGTGCTTCACAGTTACATTAACCCCTTAGCGACCGAGGACGGTTCAGGACAGTCATCGGCATTTTTGCCTTGAGGACCGATGACGGTCCTGAACCGTCCTAACGGTCTGGGGGTACTTACCTGATCGCCGTCGTTCCCCCGGCGGCGATCAGTGTTCCTCCGGTTGTGGGGAGACTGCCTGCAGCCCAGACAGTCTCCCCACACTGATTTAGGACCCCTGTGGCCATGTGATCGCTTAACACAGCGATCACATGGTCACAATAGGTGTCCATAGTGCTGCCTGCAGGGGGACTGTCTGTGCTGACAGGCAGTCTCCCTGCTAATGTAAAATCAAAAATAAAAATAAAGTTAATGGTAATAAAAAAAATAATAATAATTATATAGGTGTATATATGATATATAGACATATAATATATCTATATAATATATGTCTATATATCATCTATATAATGCCATACTAAGTGTATTTTTATATTAATATGTACTTATATTAATATAAAAATACACTTATAATTAAATTACACACGTGTGTATATATATATATAATATATATAATTATATATATTGTGTGTGTGTGTATATATATATATAATTATAAAATATAAATAATAAGTAATTTAAATTAAATAAAAAAAATTTAAAATAATAAAAAAATAAAAAAAATTATATATCTATATGAAATTTTATTCTAACTGTATTTTAAAATTAATATATATATATTTATATCAAAATACACTTAGAATGAATTTGTATATATATCTATGTATATAAAAATAAATAAAAATAATAAGAAATATACATACGTCCATATACAAAATTACATAAATAATTATATAAATATACACGTAGACTTCAAATATATAAATATGCATATATATTTAAATTCTACGTGCGTATTTATGTAATAGTTTTACATAATTCAGTAATTTTATTGATTGCAATTTAAGGGACCTGTCTGCCAACCCAGGCCGAAATTCCAGAGAATTGAATTTGCTAGCACTGTATTTTACCCTGTAATGTTCTACGACACCCTAAAACCTGTACATGGGGGGTACTGTTTTACTCGGGAGACTTCGCTGAACACAAATATTAGTGATTCAAAACAGTAAAACATATCACAGCGATGATATTGTCAGTGAAAGTGACTTTTTTTGCATTTTTCACACACAAACAGCACTTTTACTGATGATATAATTGTTGTGATACGTTTTCCAGTTTTTAAACACTAATATTTGTGTTCAGCGATGTCTCCCGAGTAAAACAGTACCCCCCATGTACAGGTTTTATAGCATTTTTGAAAGTTACAAGGTCAAATATATGGGTCAAATATTTTACATTGAAAATGGCCAGGTTGGTTACGTTGCCTTTGAGAGCGTATGGTAGCCCAGGAATGAGAATTACCCCCATGATGGCATACCATTTGCAAAAGAAGACAACCCAAGGTATTGCAAATGGGGTATGTCCAGTCTTTTTTAGTAACCACTTGGTCACAAACACTGGCCAAAATTAGCGTTCAATTTAGTTTTTTTACTTTTTTCACACACAAACAAATATGAATTCTTACTTTGGCCAGTGTTTTTCGACTAAGTGGCTACTAAAAAAGACTGGACATACCCCATATTGAATACCCTGGGTTGTCTACTTTAAAAAAAATATGTACATGTGGGGTGTTATTCAGAGATTTATGACAGATAATAGTGTTACAATGTCACTATTGATAAATTTAACAAATTTATGTTTTGAAACCGCAATATTCTACTTGTACCTATAGCCCTATAACATGCAAAAAAAAGCAAAAAAAGCACGTAAACACGGGGTATTTTTAAACTCAGGACAAAATTTTGAATCTATTTAGCAGTTTTTTTAATTCGCTTTTGTAGATGAGTAAAAGATTTTTCAAGTAAAAGTCAAAAAACATGTATTTTTTTCAATTTTTCATCATATTTTTTTATTTTTTAAAATTAAAATACATGAGATTATATAAATAATGGTATGTAAAGAAAGCCCCTTTTGTCCTGAAAAAAACAATATATAATTTGTATGGGAACAGTAAATGAGAAAGCGGAAAATTACAGCCAAACACAAACACCACAAAAGTGTAAAATATGCCTGGTCGCAAATGTACAACATCGCAAAAACAGTCCAGTCCTTAAGGGGTTAAAACATACATTTATAAAAACATTAGCAGGTGTACAAAAGGCCCTGTCTATGACATCACTTGCTGCTCCAGCCTGGCACAGGTCAGAGTATTTTGGCGGTTGCCATTTTTAAACAGTCGTATTTTAGAAACTGTAAAGCCTACACGAAGACCTTTATATTGTGAGAATCACAAGTCCCAGACCTACATTTTTAACTACATGCATAGTATGTCTCTGAAGTATTAAGAATGAAGGCACAGTCGCAGTTTAGAAATTGCCCTTCAAGTTTGAGCTGGCTAGAGTGCAGTTTCAATGAATGTCAATGGACGGCGTGAGTTGCGAACAAATGGTCATGTTGTGAAAACTATCAGGACTGTGGCTTAGCCGTGGACATTTTTAGTGGCAGCAGGGATAGCTGAACGTTTTGATATAAGATTTGTGTAGGTGGTCTTGAAAATGAGGGAGTGGTGGCAGTTTAGAAATCATGTCCTGATTTTTCAGCTTTTGCCAGCTCCCACTCTAGTTTTGAACATTTTGCCATTCATTCCTATGGGACCAATTTCGCCACAAGAACGACGATATTCCGTGAACCATTTGGCAAAACGTTCCACAAAGTAATAGCAATCCAATCGGGAACAATCCGCACGTTCGGTATATTACTGTCTATGTAGTGTAAAAACTGTGGGAGGAGTTAGGGTGGTTAATTTGGCTATAATAATAATAATATATGCGAGATAACATTAAGTGGTCTTGCTATGCAAGAACACTTAATAAGCTGTAGTTGTTGTGGTGACTATAATGTCCTTTTAATTATATTTCTTGGCTTTGATTCTGAAACCAATGCAAGGAGATGATTGTGGGTTTATTTTATTTTTTTACATGCCACTGAATTCTTTAAAATAAAAATGTAAAATATCCCTTATGTTTAAATCCAAGTTACCTCTTTCTACCATCTAGATATGCAACCGCTGTCTCCTCTGTCTGTTCATGACCGCTACAGTTCTCCTGCTGCTGGAAGCGCAAAGAGGAGGCTTTTTGATGATTCTCCAGCAGAGAAAATGACCACACCAGATATCACCAGGATCAGAATTACTGTGAAGCCTCTAGAGCGCCTGTGTCTGTCTCCAGATAAACCCATTGTACCTATAGTCCAGAAATGTATTTTTCCTGTTCACTGTAAGTACACCTTCCCCAGACGATTTGTGACCATGATATGCAATAACTGTGATTGTGTGATGTGTAATTTTTTTATTTTAGTAAAGACATCACCACAACATGAAAATGGGGTTCAGATCCCTCTTACTGCCCATGCTCTGATCAGTCCATCTACAAAGCGCCAGCAGGGCAGAGTCCAGGAATCCTGTCCAACATCAGTTGGAAAGCCCAAGAAAACTGGTTCTCTTGCTCTCTTCTTTAGAAAGGTAAGAGTTACATGGTTTATTGAGAAATGGCAGTAACCTTTTATTAATTATCTGTTGTATTGCCCTTACATTTATATCACTATCTCAATAGCAGTATTATTCTTCCTGAATGCCTGTTTGGTGTCAGTAGAACCCAGGGTTGTGACTTCATGTAAATAATGAAAATATAGAGAAATCAAAGGTACTCTACAGTCTGGAGTTGATACATGATGTGGAAACCTGACCATTGCACCTGGAAATCCTATTTGGAATTGGGCCCCCCTTTTTTTTGTATCTACAACAGCCGTCACCCTTCTGGGAAGGCTTTCCACAAGTTTTTGGATTGTTTGTGGGTATCTTAACCGATTCAACTAAAAGAGCATTTGTGAGGTCAGGCATTAAAGGAACACTATAGCGTTGGGAATACAAATATGTTCCTAACGCTAGATATCCCATGTCACCTAGGACCCCATTCCGTGGCGAATAAATGGTTAACCATTTGCCTACCGTAATTCAGGGCCAGGCTTCCTCTGCACTGGTGACCTCTCCTCCTCCAGCGACGTCTGCTTCCGAGTAGAGCCGAATGCACATGCGCAGCCAGAGACTCGTGCGCGCATTCAAACCCGCCCGTAGGAAACAATTACTCAATGCTTTTTTGACACTGGACTCCTTGAGGACAACCAGCGTCAAATAAGTGCGATTTTTCTCTGTGTAAATCGCAGAAGCGGCCTCTAGCGGCTGTCAGGGAGACAGCCACTAGATGCTGGATTAACCCTGCAGTGTAAACCTGGCAGTTTCTCTGAAACTGCTATGTTTTCAGCTGCAGGGTTAAAACTAGTGGGACCTTGCAACCAGAAAAAGTCTCTCACAGCTGGTTTTGGAGTTAATCACAAATGTATTCAGTGGGGTTTAGATCAGGGATTTTGGTAGGCCTCAATAAGAAATTCATCAATACATGTCATCATTGACTTCGTTTTGTGCATAAACCTAGTTCAAAAGCTTTTACAAGATGTACACATGCATAGTGCCTCTTGCAATATTTAAAGGAACACTATAGGGTCAGGAACATAAACCTGTATTCCTGACCTTATAGTCTTAAAACCACCATCTAGCCCCCCTGGGCCCATCATGCCTCCATAAATATAGCAAAGTTTTACTGTATTCAAGCCTGAAGCTGTAGATCTGCATGTTGTTTGCCTCATAAAAACAAGCAGTCTGCTGACATCATCAGAAGTGGTAGCCTGATCCAATCATAGTGCTTCTCCATAGGATTGGCTGACAAGGAGGCAGATCAGGGGAAGAGCCAGAACAATTCAAACACAGCCCTGGCCAATCAACATGTCCTCATAGAGATGAATTGAATCAATGAATCTCTATGAGGAAAGTTCAGTGTCTGCATGCAGATGGAGGAGACACTGAATGTTTGGATGCATTTTAGGCAGCCATGACCCAGGAAGGATCTCTAACAGCCATCTGAGGAGTGGCCAGGGAAGTTATCACTAGGCTGTAATGTAAACACTGCATTTTCTCTGAAAAGACAGTGTTTACATAAAAAATCCTGAAGGTAATGATTCTACTCACCAGAACAAATTCAATAAGCTGTAGTTGTTCTGGTGACAATAATGTCCCTTTAAGAATTTTGCTGAACACTATCATTTGTAAAATTTTGATTTGTCTGGAATTGTACCGTTTGCATTCTGGCTTGTTCTGCATGTGCATCTAACTATTTTTAGTGGCATCCTAGACAAATGTGTTCTTTCAGTGCCTTAGATTTTGTTTGTGTGGTTTTTTTTTTTTTTGGTTTTTTTTTCAGTACTAGGCTTATCCTGGAACATGTCCTATTGACACATGAATACCTGAGCACAGACTTTATCACTCGCAGATATTCTGTACTACCTCCAATAGTTTGCTTGAAACAAGAATTACTGTTGCAGGGATTTCTGCTCACTGTATAACCTGTATTCCATAGGTATACCATTTAGCTAGTGTTCGCCTGCGAGACTTGTGCTTGAAGTTAGATGTTTCCAATGATTTGAGACGAAAGATCTGGACTCTGTTTGAATATTCATTAGTCCATTGCGTAGACCTGATGAGAGACAGGCACTTGGACCAGCTTCTCCTCTGTGCTGTATATATCATGGCAAAGGTGAGTTTTCAGAGTATTCAAATTTAAAATAGTTTTCTTGTACTGCATTATTTTACATGTTTGGTGTTTAATTACTTCATCCTGCCGATGTGGGTTCTTGCTCTGTTGCTGAAGCTGTGATTGAGTGTGTGTATTTTGTGTAGTTGTCGCTGTTATTTCTTGGCTTGTGTGTGAAACCCTTCTTGACACACAGCCTATGAATTAGTAATCTGGAAGACACATGACTCTGTACGTTGATAGACGAAGTAACAAGTTATATAAAGGCAGCGCAGAAGCTAAGTCTAACTTCTGCCAAGAATACCATGTGTACATACAAATAATATATTTGTCACTGAGGAGACACTAAAGCAAGGTACATACTTGTATATACATCAAAAAATGCATTAGAATGAAATTGACAGTGGCATTGACTGAATTATCGCTAAACTTCAGTAGAATACATGAGGCAGAGTTCTGTTATATAATAGCTCTTTTACTAGAACATTTTAAGTACCTTGTATGAAGATGTGCTATGATTGCAAAGTCTCGTATTGGATACTGTTCATATGAGTGACTCTGAGCATAGAATTTTTCAAACTCATGGCTTTTCCTATATTATTGCTTCTCTTACTCAGTGTGAGAAGATGGAACTCTGCTGTCTCTTGGGGTTTTGTTCTTATCCTGCTCCCTTCCTTTCTTTGGTGTGCTCTATTACTTGTGGAGCAGGCTCTGAGGGATTGTTCTGCAGTACTTCTCCAGTATGGTCTGTTTGCTACATTAATAAAGATGCTCATGTACTAGTCCTTGATCTTGTGTGGGGATTTCATGGTCTTTAATTTCCTTATTTTACCTGGTATACCATTATTATTAAATGTGTGTATTTTTTTTATCCTGGAATTCCACAGACAATTTTCTTGGCACGTGTTAGTCTGTCAATTCTATGAACATGCACAATTTATACAATTTAATTCTTTCCAACGTTGGACAGCATTTATTTCATGTGGAAATGTAACATCTACAGAAGCAATATGGCAACACATGAGCTGGGTTTTGAGTGTATGGGTAACCCTTGATTGATTGAAACTGCTTAAAAATTGCTCAAGTTTTCAAAGAGAAAGTGTTTAAATGTGAGGTGAAAGAAATATAGCAAAACTGGGACAGGGGATCTCCTAGCACCATAATGAATTAAATAAACATAATTTGTGATGGTGCCTGCAATTTTATTTCAAAAAAATTAATCTTGCGCAGAATGTTATTGTATTACTTTACAATATTCATTAGCACTACTAAAATGTGATAATTATAACTGTAAAATATTGCAAACTTGTAAGTCCATGGGTGGCTTCATGTGCAGCTGCACAAACTCTAAGTGAATAATGATGAACTCATGTACACGGCCACTAACCATGTTGCAAGAGGATGAAGAGATGACAGGCAAGTTTCTGCATATTTGCTGGAAACTAAATTTGTTTTGGTTCTTTGGCGCCCCACATAGCTGTTTCCATAGTATGAGGAAGGCTTTGCTGGGGGAGCCTATCACTGGTTGACAAAGGACCAACTTGGAGTTCAAACACTACATAACAATTTGAGCGCTACACATAGCTCATCTTTCCAATGATAACTGGAGATTCCATTTACCCTGGTGGTAATTTTTAATGCATGATAATCTATTCCGTCAACAAGTATTAGAGCCCTGCACATACACCGTCATGTTTCCTATTAATGTAATTAATATAGAACATGCTGTGAAAACCTGCTTTTAAAAATTGAAAGGGTTGACTACCAATACAATTCAAGGAACACTAGAGTCTCAGGAATACAAACATATATTCCTGACACTATAGTTGTAAAACTACAGTGGGGGTTGCCGGCTCCTGTCTGCTTATTTTAAAACGAGGATTTTACTCTCCTTCCAATTTGATCTCAGCCAATCCAGTGCTTTCTTATAGAAAAGCATTGGGAGGCTATTGCACAGCGCCACACTACACCAATTAGAATATCCTCATGCGCGGAGATGTTGAATGTCAGTGCTGCACACGTGCACAACTGACCCAGGAAGCACTTCTAGTAGCCGTCTGAGTGATTACTGCATAGGAACACTTCTAGTAGCAATGTAAATATTACCTTTTCACTGAAAAGGCAGTGCTTACATTAACAATCCTGCAGTGACAGGCTGTAGACACCAGAACAACTACATTAAGCTGTAGTTGTTCTGGTGACTATAGTGTCTGTTTAAGTTTTACCTGCCATTGATTTGGTTCTTATTGAATATAGTGGGCTTTTTATTTTTTCTTTACGTACAAATCAGTTGATAAGCATGTTTTCGAACCAGAATTCTGCGTATATTTCCGGTATTTTGTTAAAGCAAGTTTTTTTTGTTTTGTTTAACATTTTTTCAGTGCAATGCATGAACCATACTTCAATCAATAGTAGTTGAGTAGAGTCATAATAAGGCATGGGCTTTGGAACATTGGTAATATGCACCTTTTTATAGTTGTATATAACATGTAAATGTAGGCCTAGGTGTCATTGTAGGTGACTTAGCTTGTGGTGGGTGTTCGGGTGGGTAGTTTGCCCACAGGGATCCTGGGGGGGTATTGTAGTTGAGGTCTCTTCATATATGTGTGCGTGATAGTGAGTAAGAAGTGTAGTATATGGAGAGCGGGTTGTGTGGTCCTATATGCGTGAAGTCTGCTCTACTCAGGAGTTTTAATGTAGCTGGTCAATGCGGCTACTCAAGCTTGTGGTGTTGGTCTGTGCTTTTGGTGTAATTGCTCCTAGCCGAGGGAGCAGTGGGGGAGGGGTGAAAGATGCCGTTCGTTTCGTTTGGCTAAGAGTATGTTGTGCGGATGTCTGCGAACTGTGACATTATGATTTGGAGCTGTGCTGTAAAAGTTGTGTCATACATTAGTGGGAGAAGAGAAGATCAATAAAAAATACCTTTCTGCAGTCATTTTAGACTCTCCATGGCATTGCTTGAGTAGAGCAGTTTCCGACAGGAGTTCAGGTGCCATACATCAACTCAGTTCCGATTTGCTGTCGTGGTTCCGTAGCCTGGGATTTCCTGATCCTTGGGACAAAGGGAACAGCGTGTTTGGGATCCCAAGATTCAGTGGTGGGTCTTGCAGGTGGGTCAGAGATGTCAGTCCCAAAGCTTCCAGGAATGTGGGTGCTTCCTCCAGGTCAATGAAGGCTTCTGGCTGCGGTGATTGAGCTGCTCGAGTGTCCAGTGGGGCCACAGGCCCTGTTTGCTCGAGTGGGTGAGTGAAGTTAGTGGAGCACGGGGTTTCCACGAGAGCTGGTTTAGGCGGTATGGGCTTCTGTAGCATGGCCCCGATGTCCCTGCTGCGGCATGCGGTTTCTGTAAACGGCGACCCATAGCTGACGTGGGCTGATGGGACGGTTGTTGTGGGGATAGATTCATCTCCCAGTCTCTTAGCCGCGGCGCTGCAAAAAAGGCCTGGGAGTGTCAGCGTGAGGTAGGCCCCAGTTTTTCGCCTCAGTTTAGGCTGGTTCGGTGTCAGAAAGAATGGCCTCTATCGCCCCAGTGAGTTTTGAGGTCCAGCTGGGAACTTTGGAGGGGTGGATGGGCTGCCTATAGCGAGATATTCTGTGGATGTTAGTTTTGTTGAGGAGCATCGAGGAATGGCACCCGTTCAGGTTGATGGTCAAGCTCCGCCTTTGCAAACCTGTTTTTTAATAGATAAATTGGTTAACTACCAAGAGAGTCTTGTTACTAGGCTTATGTACAAATCCCTTTCATCTGTGATGAACAAATGAAATGCCTGTTGATCTATGGTTAAACGCATAGATTAATTCGGTGTTTACCTCACTAATCGATATGGGTTTTTTTTTTTCTCTTAGCTTGATAGCATGTGATTCATTCAGCGCAGCTAATAGGTATTTATGCACAATTCTATTAGTTACACTTGCAGTTGATGTGCTCCCTGCACACCAACTTTCTTTTCAGAGATATATATATATATATATATATATATATATATATATATATATATATATATATATATATATATATATTAATATTAAAAAGTATGTGAACCCTTTGGAATGATATGGATTTCTGCACAAATTGGTCATAAAATGTGATCTGATCATCATCTAAGTCACAACAATAGACAATCACAGTGTGCTTAAACTAATAACACACAAAGAATTAAATGTTGCCATGTTTTTATTGAACACACCATGTAAACATTCACAGTGCAGGTGGAAAAAGTATGTGAACTCCTAGACTGACATCTCCAAGAGCTAATTGGAGTGAGATGTCAGCCAACTGGAGTCCAATCAATGAGATGAGATTGGAGGTGTTGGTTACAGCTGCCCTGCCCTATTAAAAAAAAAAAAAAAAAACACACCAGTTCTGGGTTTGCTTTTCACAAGAAGCATTGCCTGATGTGAATGATGCCTTGCATAAAGCTGGAAAGGGTTATAAAAGTATCTCCAAAAGCCTTGCTGTTCATCAGTCCACGGTAAGACAAATTGTCTATAAATGGAGAACGTTCAGCACTGCTGCTACTCTCCCTAGGAGTGGCCGTCCTGTAAAGATGACTGCAAGAGCACTGCACAGACTGCTCAATGAGGTGAAGAAGAATCCTAGAGTGTCAGCTAAAGACTTACAAAAGTCACTGGCAAATGCTAACATCTCTGTTGGCGAATCTACAATACGTAAAACACTAAACAAGAATGGATTTCATGGGAGGATACCACAGAGGAAGCCACTGCTGTCCAAACAAAACATAGCTGCACGTTTACAGTTTGCACAAGAGCACCTGGATGTTCCACAGCAGTACTGGCAAAATATTCTGTGGACAGATGAAACCAAAGTTGAGTTGTTTGGAAGAAACACACAACACTATGTGTGGCGTAAAAAAGGCACAGCACACCAACATCAAAACCTCATCCCAACTGTGAAGTATGGTGGTGGGGGCATCATGGTTTGGGGCTGCTTTGCTGCATCAGGGTCTGGACGGATTGCTATCATCGAAGGAAAAATGAATTCCCAAGTTTATCAAGACATTTTGCAGGAGAACTTAAGGCCATCTGTCTACCAGCTGAAGCTCAACAGAAGATGGGTGTTGCAACAGGACAATGACCCAAAGCATAGAAGTTAATCAACAGAATGGCTTAAACAGAAGAAAATACGCCGTCTGAAGTGACCCAGTCAGAGTCCTGACCTCAACCCGATTGAGATGCTGTGGCATGGCCTCAACAAAGCGATTCACACCAGACATCCCAAGAATATTGCTGAACTGAAACAGTTCTGTAAAGAGGAGTGGTCAAGAAATACTCCTGACCGTTGTGCACATCTGATCTGCAACTACAGGAAACGTTTGGTTGAAGTTATCGCTGCCAAAAGAGGTTCAACCAGTTATTAAATCCAAGGGTTCACATACTTTTTCCACCTGCACTGTGAATGTTTACATGGTGTGTTGAATAAAAACATGGCAACATTTCATTCTTTGTGTGTTATTAGTTTAACCCCTTAAGGACACAGCTTCAGAAGCTTGACTTACGCTTAATGACACAAGCAATTTTTGCATTTTCTTGCTGTTTGCGTTCAACTGCAATTTGCATCTCTCTCATTTATTGCACTGACACATATTATATACTGTTTTTTAAATGACAGAAAGGGCTTTAATTTGATATAACATATATATATATATATATATATATATATATATATAAATGCTTACTTATTATAAAAAAAATACAGAAAAATGCAAAAAAAATGAAAAATATTTTTTACAGTTTTTGCAATAATAATGTGTGCATAATTAGTGCAGGTTAAGGAAAGTAATTAAAAATAAATTTATTTATTTGTTCTGATTTACAGAATATATAATGTGTCTGGGATTTTAAGTTTTTTTTGGTAGTTACAGGTCACAAAGCACAAGGAGTAAAATAAACTTTAATGTGGAGCGATTTTAGAATTTGGTATGTTTGTCTTGTAAGCTTAATAGCCATAAAAGAAAACAAAATTGCTACACAAAAGTATATATTTATATAAAGTAGACATCACGGGCTATTTACCTAAGGTTGTTTTGACACTTTCTACGTAGCCATTTCACCGCCAACCTCTGCTAAATATTGGAGTAAAATTGTGTTCTTTTTGTTTTTTGGCACACAAACTTATAACAGAGAAATTCTCGTGTATATTTTGTAAAATTGGTGTGTGCTATTCCTGTACAAAGTTTTATTTTGTGTTCAGTTATATCTGCTGAGTAAAATGACACCCCCATTGTATGTCTTTTGCACTATTTCGTGAAGTTACAGTGCCATACAGGATACCTGTCCTTTTCAGTATTCACAGTAGAATTTTTGAGAGATGGATTTAATGAGCCTTAGCTTCCATTTTGGGGTATTATAACAGTTTGACTGTTCAAAAAAAACCCACAAAGGCCTACCATTTGTAAAAGTAGACACTCCAGGGTATCTTATAAGGTGCATATTGTGCCTTAACATGCCCTCATTTTTTCACCAATATATGCCAAAGTATGTGGTAAAAAATAATTTTGTGCATTTTTTACATACGGATTGCATTTTTGCTGGGCGTTTTGTATATTTCATATGTGCCACTAAGTTCAAAACCCCCAAATTATGCTCAGCTAAGTCTTCTGAGTAAAATGACACCCCATATGAATGTCTTTGGCACTATTTCGTGAAGCTACAGTGCCATATAGGAGACCAAGCCATATCCGTTTTTACCAAACTTTGAATTTTGACGCTGGGCCTATGTGCAATTTCCAAGCACCTTCGCAGGTTTTAAATTCAATCTACCCCACAAAGGCCTACCATTTCTTAAAGTAGACACCCCAGGGTGTTTCAAAAGGTATAGTTTGAACCTTAGCGTGGGATCATTTTTACGCTAGCTTGTACCGGATGTAGTGGTAATAAGCGTTTTTTCTGCCTTTTTGACATACAAAGTGAGTTTGCACAGTATATTTTGCAAACCTTATGTTTGCTACGACTGTATACTAGTTCATATGTTGCTCAGCTATGTCGGCTGAGTACAGCAATACCCCCGTATGTACCTTTGCCAGGTATGTGTGGACATCGGAGGGGCACATTTGGGACACAGCCATTCCAGTTTTTTTCAAACTTTGAATTTTTATGCTGTGCCTATGTCCCATTTTAGAGTATTTTACCAGGCTATATAATCCAAAATTCCCCATAAAGCCATACCATTTCTTAAAGAAGACATCCCAGGGTATTTCAAAAGGCATATTTTGAACCTTAGCGTGGGATCATTTTTCCGCTAGCTTGTACCAAGTGTAGTGGTAATAAGCATTTTTCTGCCTTTTTGACATACAAAGTGAGTTTGCGCAGTATATTTTGCAAAACTTATGTGTGCTATGACTGTATAATACTTCATATGTTGCTCAGCTATGTCGGCTGAGTACAGCAATACCCCCGTATGTACCTTTGCCAGGCATATGTGGATGTTGAAAGGGCACATTTGAGACGCAGCCATTCAGTTTTTTTCTAACTTTGAAGTTTTACGCTGTGTCCATGTTCCAATTTGGAGTAGTTTAGACGGTTGGTTATTGAAACTTCCCCACAAACACATACTATTTATTAAAGAATACACCCTGGGGTAATTCAAAAGGCATATTCTGAACCTTGGCGTGGGATAATTTTTTTCTCTAGTTTGCTCCAGGTGTAGTGGTAATGAGCGTTTTTAAAATGTATTTTTTTACTTTTTATAACTTTTTACTTTTAAAAACTAGTTTTTAAACTTTTGTTTTGCTTATAAATTTTTTTTAAACTTTCCTAAACTTTCTTAAAACTTTTTTACAGATTTAACATTTTTCTAAGCTTTTTTTTTACCGTTAACCCCTAACTAGCAGTACGCAGCAGTAACAGTAAATTCCTCATTTTCCCATAACTCCCACCCACCCCAGCTAGCAAAATATATAGTTATAAAATATTTAAATTAATTAATTAAATAAATTGAACCTCTGAGGGTTAAAAAAATAAATAAAAGTTAATCCTCAGGGGTTAAAAAAAATTAGATCACAGTATAATACTGTGATCTCTATTTGATCGCTGTAGGCAGTTATCGACTGGCAGGGAAGGGGTTAATTTTTATTTGGACTAGGTAAAGTGTGTTTTTTTTGTTTTTTTTTACTTAAATGTTATTAAAACATTTTTTAAGCTTAATTTTTAACTTTTTAAAGTTTCTTTTAAAACTTTTTTTTAACGTTAACCCCTAGTTAGCCTAACGCCAGATCCCCCAATTCCCCACTAACTTCCACCCACCCCAGCTATCTAAATATATAATTAAAAAATAATTTAATTAATTAATTTAATTAATTTAACCCCTGAGGGTTAAAAAAAAAGAATTACCCCTCAGGGGTTAAAAAAAAAAATCAGATCATAGTAAAATGTAATCCCTGCCAATTGATCACTGTAGTCAGTGATCAATTGGCAGGGAAGGGGTTAATTTTTTATTAAAATGGGTAAGGGGGGGGACTTTAAATAAACTTTATTTTTTTTTCCAGCAGGGGGCAGGATCAGCACTGATCCGGCTCCCTGCACTTCACACAGAACCCGGAAGTGCAGGGAGCCGGTAGGTGAGTATACAGAGCACATGTGCTCGGACTTGCAGGATGCATATGTGCTGGGCAGATTGATCATAAAGCCCCTGCATGCCTCTCTAGCCGCAGAGGTATTACCGGGAGTTAACATTAATCTCATCGCCGCCACAGCGCTTATCCGGTTTACTTTACCGCCGCGCGGACGGACGAGGTCCGGCCACCCGCCGTTAAGTGGTCCTCTGTGTGACGGACCTCGTCCGCCACCCGTCCCAAGGTTGCTGTGACTGTGATTGCTCCATATTGTGACTTAGATAATGATCAGATCAATGCTTACACTAATTTCCAGCGGAAATCCATATAATTCCAAAGGGTTCAAGCATACTTTTCTCTTGCAAGTGTGTGTGTGTGTGTGTATATATATGTGTGTATGTATATGTATATGTGTATATATGTATGTGTGTGTGTGTATATATATATATATATATATATATATATATATATATATATATATATATATATATATATATATATATATATATATATATATATATATATATATATATACATTTTTTTTTTTTTTTTTATTGAGGCAATTGAGAGATTCAATACACAAATCAGATTTATCGGAGCTTAACCTAAGTAAGAACACAGACGTCCTTATTAATAAGCACAACAGAGTAACTCCTAAGTACTTCAGCCTCATTTTAAAATAATAAAACAAAACATAGTGTAGTAACAGATAAAACCTACATGGCTGCCATAATGCCAGTAAGTGCATCTAGAGGCATAGGAATGATGGTAATTACTAAACATGGATTAAAAACATAGTGCAATGTAGTCCAGGTATTTTAGTATTGTCAGCCCTAATTTGCTCATGCAGGTTAAGTTTGACAGACTAAAACAAACTAAAAATTGTTTAAAATATTAGACCAAGTGCAAGCCTAGAAAAAACAATGTGCAATCTGGTAAACATGGGCAGCTTTATGTGGTTGAACGTGTATTAGGTGTTTACTGCCACAGAAGTCATACACTAAAGTGTCTAGATACCCTTAACCGCGTGGCAGGGGGTGGTTGCATTCTCATCCAAAATATATATATATATATATATATATATATCTGCAGAATTGAACCAAAATATAATTCCGTGTATTTCTTATTTCAATTAAGACGTATTCTAAACAAGTTTGTCTTGTACATTGCATGGTTTCCAGAGGTACGGACAAATAACGCAATTTACAAAAAGGGGAAAAAAACATATCCAAAAGCAAATGTGAGCTGCAAGGTTTCCAGTAGGACATGTTTGGGTTTCTTCCTCAACCTCTCAGTTAGGAGGCTGGGCAAGTGTGCTGGCGGGATCCCGAGCTTAAGAAGGTTGTCTCGGTGAGTACCCTGGTGCCTCCATTGTAAGGAATCAAACCATTTTAAAAGAATTTGACCATTTACCTGGGGTCGCCCGAGATTCTGTTGGCTCTCCTAAGTTAAGCCCTGTGCAGGGCTACCGCATTGGCTAAGAACATCTGCTGATCACTCAGCCAGTGATGTAAACCTTACACCTCTGGGTTTAGCTCAATGAATAGTTTTTGGCTCTCACTGTGCTCTGGTGGAACAAATGTAAGAATTCAAACTTTGATAAAGCTGGTTTTCTACTTACAGTGGTGAAAAAAACAGGGTATTCCTGACACCATAACCAACACAGCACTCTGTAGTAGTTTATGCTCTTGGAGTGTTTCTGTAAGATAATAAAAAAATAAAATATTGACTGTTTCTTTTAAGTTAAGATGATACTTTGAGTATGCCTCAACTGTAATTTTTAAGTACCTTCTACCTTTTTTCCTGGAGTTACAAGGTAAAATGTCTTTTAAAATGACATAACATAAACCTATGAGCAAAGAATCACAATAAGACTGCTACTGTAATTAAGTGTATGGTTCTGCTTGATGCTTTAACCTACTTCTTGCTAAAACTCTCTGCCATCTTTACTGCTTGACTTGTGCTGGTGCTGACATCAACAGATGTGATTATATGAAAAAGAAGTTCCTTCGTGTACTTATTTCCAGAGCGATGGGTGTGAGACTGATGAGGAAGTTCTCGAAAGCTTTAAGTGCTTCTTTCAGCTCAGCAGTTACATAGAAGATAATGAAATAAAAGATGGGGTATGTTCCCGTTTTTACTCACCCTTGCTACTTCTTGCATATACATGTTTGACACTAGGTGTCTAGATCATGGTTATTAAGCCAGTCCTACAAATAGCCCTTTTTATTTATTTGACTGTCCTTTAACCGCACAAGTGTTTGTATGGTAAGCCTGAGACCTATTGGAAAATGTATCTTTGTCTCTGTTACAATATTAGCTTATTGTCTTCTCACCAGTTCCCATTTGTATTGCCTGCAGGCATATCTGTATGGGAGGCAGTATTTTTGTATAAATAAAAGTAGACCACACAATAAACACAGGCACAGGTTATTTACTTTTTAAATGGGTTTGGCCATGTTGTTTTTTTCAAAGAGACTTAAGGGACTTACAACCAAATTTTCATAATGATAAACCTAAAACATAAATGTTTAACCTTTTAACTTTATTAACCACCAAATTGACAGTCTTGGGCGACCTGATTGCTTTTTATTTAAAACTTTCTAGTAAGGAATGCCCGATCTCACTGGCCGGACATGTTTTTCTGTAGCTCCTGGATATTTGGTCCTACAACAAGCTTTCCAAGTTGATTCCCACAAATTAAGCTTATGCAGTATTTACAGAAGACGCAGAATCACACCACACCAATCCAATTCTAATTTGGGGGCACTCTGCTACTTCTGTTACACGTCCGATCCTGAGGCCTACTACGGCGGGTGCGCTGGTGACTGGGGAAAACCGCAATACCCTAGCCCTCGGCACTGATCCTGAAACTGACCATCACCATTTGGACCGGTGGGGGATATCCTGGTCCCCACTGGGCCACTCAGAATTCACTACCTGATGACTCAGGGCTTCCTGCGTTAAGTGCCTCGTGTCGCGACCAAGACGGCCACCGCGATAGAGCCGAGCAGGGCTGCTTGGATTTGGAAGGCCCTTACTCTACCTGCTGTCTGTGTTCCCTGCGAGACAAGGTCTATTAATAGAACTCTTTCTGGGCTGGGGGCCCGCATGGAGACAACTCTACCCCAAAGTCCACACTCCCGTGAGTGTGGACTTTGTTGTAGAGATATATATATATTATATATATTATATTATTATTTTTTTTTTTTTTTATATATTTTTTTTAATCTGCACCTTCACCATTGTCACATTCAACATACACCCAGTGGTAATAAGTCTCTCAAGTTGTGCACACTCTGTTTACTAACTACAGGACTGGGTGTAAAACTGGTATTTACTGCTCTAAACCTCACATTAAGCCTAATCTTGTCTTCACAGCTTGTAACTTAACCCTCTTGTACCTTATCAATCCACAGTACTATTGTGCTGTCTACTAATGACCATAACGTTACCCTAGCCTGTTTTTTAGAATGTTAAGCATTACTTGCCTACCGACCTTCACTTTTTACAATGTTGTTTTCATAATACAAAAAAATTCTCTACATGCCACTATACTATTAAACAATAACAAAAATAAAAGTAAGGTAGGGCATGGGTCCGCCTGTACCGCTCCTGCTTCAGTGACTCCTTCCTTGTCACCATACATACTGTTAGGCTTGGAAATATTTGGAAACTGAAACAAGTTATTTTTTTAAATCTGTTTACCAAAATAAATTCAAGTTACAGTAAAATAAAGTGCAACCTCCCAGCTTTAATTTGAGGGTATTCCCATCCAAATTGGAGGATGGGTTTAGGCATTACAACTCTTTTTCAAGGGACCAAAAATAATTGGACAATTGACTCAAAAGCAGTTTCATGGACAGGTGAGGGCTATGCCTTCATTTTCTCATTACTTAAGCAAGTAAAAGGTCTGGAGTTGGTTCCAAGTTTGGCATTCAAATGTGGAAGCTGTTACTGTGAACCCACAACACGTTGTCAAAGAAGCTGTCAATACATGTGAAACAGGCCTTCTTTAGGCTGCCAAAAAAAAAAATCAATCAATCATACAAATTGTAGGAACAGTTTTGTATACTCTGAGGAAAAAAAAACAATGCATTGCTGAGCTCTGCAGAACAAAATAATCTACTGAAGATAAAAGTGGTGGATGATCTTCGGATCCATTCCATGGTAAAGAAAAACCCCATTACAACATCCAGCCAATTGAAGAACCCTCTCCAGGTGGTAGGTATATCATTATGCAAATACACCATAAAGAGAGGACCTCACGAGAGCAAATACAGAGTGTTCTCCATGAGGCAAATAAACCCTTGATTGCCACCCTATATATGTGCCACAGTGTTTAATGCCTGTGGTGTTTACATTTGGAGTTTGCACAATGTTGGAACCACCAGCTATAGTCCTGTTCTTGTGATACTGATGGTGTTCAGCATGGGTTCTAGTAAATACTAAAACCTGTTATGTTATCTATACAAAGTTTTGTGGCTTAAAAAAAAAAAGGCAAGTACTAAAAATGGGGCCACAGTCCCCACAGGAAACTAGTGGAACCTTTTTGTACCACTTTTCAGAACGCAACACTTTTTTTTTTTTTTTTTTACTTGTGACTCAGAGCTTCAAGTGTGAATGAGATTTTCCTTTTAAGTGGTATGTATTGTGGCTTTTATTTATTTTGCTGGCCCTTATATTTTAAGGTTCTTTCTCGGTTTAATTCAGAGCATGTAGAGGCTCTTCATCCCTGACTCGTGTCTGACCATCCAAGGAGATGGTAATTGGACTTAATCTGCACTGTGACCCCAGTTGTTCAAAACCCATTCCCAGTTATAGGCCAGTATTACATGGTCATGGCATAGTGAGATCATTGAGATGTCCTTTAGGTTAGGTGGGAACTCCTAGATTGGGGGTGAGATGGCAGGGAAGCAGACAAAACATAAGTCACAGGTAGCTGGTTAAGGAGACCATGATCATAGGAGGAAAAGGGACTCAGAATTTTTCATTTTTTGCTTACTGCAAATATTTCCTATGCCTGCAGTATTGACATTATCTTAGGATTTAAGAGTTAAATTATTTTCGTTTCTGTCCATGCAGTCCTAGTCACACCTCCCCTGGTTGTGACTCACAGCCTGCATGGAAACAACTGAAGTGTGTGTGTGTGTGTATGTATGTATATATATATAATTAATATAGCGCCAACAAATTCCGTAGCGCTGTACAATCGGTGGACTAACACACATAATTGAGATCAGACCACTGGACGTACAGGAACAGAGGGGGTTGAGGGCCCTGCTCGATGAGCTTACATGCTAGAGGGAGTGGGGTATGGTGACACAAAGGGTTAAAATAGGGGAATTAAATCGTTTGTTAGAGAAGGGTTTATTGAGTGCTTGGTAGGTCATTTTTGACAGTTGCAGGAAAGGAGTCATTGGGTGGGGGATGAGAAACCTGCTGACAGTTTAATTGATACGCTTTAACCTCTTAAGGACCAAACTTCTGGAATAAAAGGGAATCCTGACGTGTCATGTGTCCTTAAGGGGTTAATGAAGAAGTGAGTTTTCAAAGATTTTTTGAAGGAGTGGAGGCTGGGTGAAAGCCTGATTGAGGAGGGAAGGGAGTTCCACAGAACAGGTGCAGCCCTGGAGAAGTCTTGAAGGCGAGCATCAGAGGTGGGGATCCGGGCAGAGGATAGGTGTAGGTCTTGGGCTGAGCGCAGGGGTCTCGACAGGACATACTTGTGTATGAGGGAGGATATGTATGTTGGGGCAGCATTATGTAGAGATTTGTAAGCAAGCGCCAGAATTTTGAATTGGGCCCTATATCTAACTGGAAGCCAATGCAGGGACTGACAGAGCGTGGAGGTGTGGGAGGTGCGACCGGACAGGAAAAAAAGCCTCGCAGCCGCATTCATTATAGACTGCAGCGGTGCAAGCTGGGAACATGTAAGACCGGTGGGAAGGGGATTGCAGTAGTCAAGAGAGAACAGCAGCATGAACCAGTACCTTAGCCACGTCCTGTTCTTGAGTTGGAAGCGACAGGATTTGGCTATCGATTGGACATCAGGAGTAAAAGAGAGGTCAGAACAAATAGAACCCCTAGGCAGCAAGCCTGCGAGATAGAGGTGATAGTAGCGCCGTTGACTTGGATGGGGACAGACACAGGAGTAGCAGCACTTGACGGAGGAAAAACTAGAAGTTCTGTTTTGGACTGGTTGAGTTTAAGGAAGTGAGCAGCCATCCAGTTGAAAATCGCAGAGAGGCAGTCAGAAACACGAGTCAAGGTGGGTGGAGAGAGATCAGGGGAGGACACGTAGATTTGCGTGTCATCTGCATATATATGAAATTGGAAGCCAAAGGAGCTGATGAGTTTACCAAGGGAGGCAGTATAGATAGAGAACAGTAGGGGGCCGAGGACAGATCCTTGGGGGACGCCGAGACAGAGGGGTTGGGGAGAAGAGGCAGAGCCAGAGAAAGAAACACTGAAAGAGCGCTGGGAGAAGTAGGAGGAGCACCAGGAGAGAGCAGTAGACCAAAGTTTATGGAGAATGTGAAGAAGCTGTTGATTATCAACAGTGTCAAAGGCGGCAGAAAGATCAAGGAGGATTAGGATAGTATTGGCCGCGAGATTTAGCAGCAATTAAATTGTTGGATACTTTGGTCACAGCAGTTTCGACAATGACCAGCGTGGAATCCAGACTGAAGGGGGCCAAGCAGAGAGTTGGATTCGAGAAAGTCTGTCAATCTGGCGTACACAACTCTCTCGAGGATCTTGGAGGCAAATGGCAGTAGCGAGATAGGGCGGTAGTTGGATGGGGAGTTGGGATCAAGGTTGGGCTTTTTCAGAATCAGGGTTACGGTTGCATGTTTGAAGGGTGAGGGAAATGTGCCAGAGGAAAGGGAGAGATTGAAAATGTTAGCGAGAGGAAGAGCAAGAGAGGGAGACAAAGTGCGGATGAGATGCAAGGGAATAGGATCGAGGGAGCAGGTGGTGGGGCGGGAGGACAGGAGCAGAGCAGAAACCTCTTGTGCTGTAGCAGGTGCACATGAGCATAGGATGGCAGGGGGAGTGGGGTTGGGTGATGTATTGATAGGGGTAGGAGATAGATTAGAGATGAGATGCAAAGTTTGTGGCGGACAAGGTGGTGAAAGGAGGGGGAGTCACAGGGCGAAGAAGAGCATCAAAAGTGTGAAACAGGTGTTTGGGTTGATGGGACAGTGTGCTTATGAGGGTGTTGAAGTAGTTTACTTTTGCAGAGGAAAGAGCCATGCTGTAGGAGCGCAGCATAAATAAGTATTGTAGGAAGCAGCTCCCCTCTCATACCGCGCGATGCTGTGTGGAGCGTTGCCATGGTAACGCGCGGCAACACTCCACACAGCTTGCTCACAGGAGGATAGGAGAGCTGCTTCCTAGAGCCCTCCCCCTGCCTCCCGACCCGGAAGCAGAGTAAGCGCCTGCTGTTTCGGGCAGGCAGGTGCTTACTCTGCAGACAGCCAGCAGCCCCCTCTCCCGGCAACCTATGGCCGCGTGCCCACAGAGAGGGCCTGGCGTGCCACAGGTTCGCCATCACTGCTATAAAATGTGTACATGGGGCATACTGTTCTACTTGGGAGACTTCACTGAACACAAATATTAGTGTTTTTTAAATTTTTTTTTAATTTATTTTTTTTCTTGTGCGATAAGTGACAACAAGCGTGCATAGCCTCGATAGCATCTGCAAGCAGTTAATACAACATTTCAAATCTTTGCATTCAAGACAGCAATATATATAGATATAGATATATATATATTAGAAAAACGATTAGTAGGGAAGACAGCTTTCACTTTGTACATCATGTTTGCTAGACTATGATTAGCTAGGATAAAAGAAAACAAAATAATCAATGCTTAATGCTGAGTACATTGGCATTTGTGGTAGGTATACTGATGAACACTTAGAGCGTAATCTTCGCCAATGAAGCTGTACAATTGCGGTCTCCCATATGATAAAATCAGGAGTTGGTCAGATAAGACACATGTCGAAACAGGCATATGTTAGCATGAAACGGGCATAATTTAGCATGACTTAAGCAGTCCCAGGTTAAATTACGTATAGAAAAATCTCACAGGATCTGGTATAGCAATTAGTAAAGGTTATAACATGCTAGACTTCTTATGGAGCCTGTCAAGTGCTATCCAACAATAGAATTCTAAATATGAAACATCTCTAGGCTGTTTCCTTTGCTGAATTAAACAATGCATATATATCCAGCTTAAGAGTCTCGGACCCCTAGATTGTGAAGGCCCATCTTTAACAGGTTTCACAGGTCAACTGACCGGCTACTGAGCCATAGTACCTCCCTGCCAGTCTGTTTGTTAAGCCGATCTTAGGGTGCTTGTGTGTCAAAGTCTCTGGTATGTTGGCTGGGAGAGCGGTCGTCTCTCCCCACCGTAGTCGCTTGCAGGCCCCAGCTAGCCATTTTGGGTTCCTGTTCACCGAAACGCTCGGGGAAAGTTTCATATGTATCACCAGGTTTCCCTGTATGTGGGCAGCGACTCCCGGTTCAATATGTGGCCCGGTTCTAGCGAAATGTTGGTGATTCCCTCAGGAGCTCCGCTTTCAGGCGTCCGCCCCCAAAATATTAGTGTTTTAAAACCGTAAAACATATCCTGACGATGATATTATCAGTGAAAGTGCCAATTTTGTGTTTAAAAAAAAAAAATGCACAAAAACTAATGTGAACACTAGTTTTTTTGTGACTGGCTATTAAAAAAATAAAATGGACATATATCAGGGCTTGACAAATTTGCTTTGAATTTAGGAGTCAGGTAAAAAAGTTAGGAGTCAGGTTTTTTTTATTTTTTTCAATTTGAATTTTATTGAAATATTTTTTCTTTAAACATCTTTGTCAGAATATGAGTGAGGTTAGTAACCAGTTGTCATGCAATAATACATTTGACACTATATGTCTTATAGATATATCATAGGAAACATTTGGGAAGAAAATGGCTTAGAGCACAGTATGTCCCAGAGGACTTTAGGTCATATGGCTGGAGTTCGTGTAGGCGCCAGGAGGGCAGTGGTCGAAGGGTCACAGTCTCTAGCGGGTTCACAGTCTGTTAGATATCCTGCGTATCTGTTTTACGATCCATCCCTTGTCAAATTGCGGGTGCCTCCCAGGGCTCTTGTGTGCTTTTTGGCTGTAACTCCGTGGGTTACGTTGCTTCCTGGTGCTTAGCTAGCAGCCCAAGGGTTTGGAGAAGTGTCTGTGGGTCTTCGGTTGAGGAAAGGGTTAGGGTGGCCTTCCCCCAGGGTACTACCAATGAACCTCCCGTGTCCCAGCAGTATTTGATATCGTCTCGTAGCCATTTGGCTACCTGTGCCAGTTTTCTCTTTGTCTAAATATACATAGGGATTTAGGAGAGAGCGCAGGTAACTTTTTCTTTTGTTTTTACTATATATTGGGGTTGATGTGTACTGTAGTCATTGCTGCCGGCCCAGTAGTGATGGGAGTGGGTGCAGGACTTATCTTTTTGTATTTACATTATTTGTTTTATTGCAATTCTATTCCACCCAGCCAACCTTTGGGTAAGCTGCCGTGCACTTTTACTAGCTTACCCATTAGAAAGCATTGTATTTAATGGTTTCCTAATAGCTTCTAGGTCACGTGAAGACCGCCACTGGGGTGGATTTAGCCCTACAATGTAAACATTGCAGTTTCATTAAAAAAAAAAAAAAAAAATTGCAGGCTTAAAATGAGTAATTGAGATGACGTTGTCTGTGTGACATTGGTGCCCCATTCATCTTTATTTTTTTTCCTACTCTGCTCAGAACTGTCTAATAAGCTTTGTTGAACTTTTCCACTGTATCCGTTTCAACCAGATACACTAGAATGGTATTGTGTCTATACCTTTTTATACCTCGTTTTGTGCAATGCTGGCAGCTGTGTAGTGCACCTCTATTCTGTATTATGTCACATTTTAATTAACAAAAAATTGTACCAAAGTGAATTTTTAAATGGACAAATAACACAGTCCTTTTCATATCTAAGGGTTTGTGTGATATGTTTTCTTCTTAGATTTCATTTACAAACTCCATTAGGAATTGGAGTCTAAGTGCATTCGTTTATTTTTCTTATTAATATGTAATATTCCCTCTCTCAGGTCACAAAAGAGGAGAGACTTTTCCATGATATAATGAAATGCTACAGGAACCAACCCCAGGCAAACAGCAATGTAAGTAAATATTACCATTTCTGTATTGCTACTTTACCAAATTATATCATTCTTTGAAATCTTCTAGAGATGGACAGGATGTCCGGCTTAAAGCGGCACTGTCATGTCGAACTTGCCTTTCCCCAATCAATTCATCTTCACTCAATCTGTCAGGATCTGTTCATTTCTTCCTGTCTGCTCTAGTTTTCTTTAAAACATAAGACAAAGTAGGGACTATTTGTGTTATGGAGGTTTCCTACGCCTGACCATCTATGACCAGCAGAGGAGCAAAGTGTGCTCTGTTTCCTGTGGTCAGAGAAATTTTCCCATAATTCTTAACTTTCCTCAGTGCTCTCGCGATGCTTTCTGTCAGTATTCTTTAATGTTCTGTCATTTAGACAGAACGCAGGCAAAACTACCAAATTTTGTCCTAACAGAATGAGAACGGTTTCTCCATTCGTGTTAGGACGCAGTTCGGGATTTGGTTCGGAACGGAATTTCATTCGAATAAATTAAGTTCTGATCCTTGCCACGGCTGCATCTTGCAGCCGCTTACGCTTAGTAGAGAGCTCCCTAATACCCATGGTATATATTGACCCCTATAGAGTGGGGGAGGACATGGGGTGCTTAGAAAGTTGCGTGGAGCACAGCTCCCTGTCACTTTTATCTTTTATTACAAGTTGGGAGCTGTGCGCCGGTAGCTTCCTCCTTGTAATAAACCGAACGAAGAGGTCTTAGTTCATTTGTTTGAAATTTCTATTAATTTATTTGTCTTTCTGACGATTAATGAATAGATTAAATTACCGTTCGCATGCCCAAGTGTTTAACTGGGCATGCGTGGGAATTTCACAGCGCTATCTAGTGTGGGCAGATGACGTGACTTCATCTACGCACACAGATGGCGGCGCCCAGGACCTAGGTCCAGGTAGAATATAAAGATTAAAACATAGGGAAAATGGGTGGCTTAGCTGCATTTAGGGGCGACAAAGGGACAAGTAGATGTAGTGGAGTCGGGAGGAGGGTTAAAAACAAAAACAAACGGGATTTGGCCATGACAGTGCCGCTTTAATACAGATGTCAAATTTTGCACACACAATGCCAACGATAGCGCTACTTGCACAAAAGAAAGAATGAGAACTCTGAGAACGGACAAAAGCTTAGAGTAAATTAATAGCTTGCCATTCAGTACTTGCCCTTGGTTTAGAGGAGAGTGGTAAATTACCACTCCTGTAGACTGTTTTGTCAATAAGCCCCCTCACACACATTATGGAAGCAGTGATGGAGGTCAACTATTCTGAAGATTGGTTTTAGATTGAGGAGTTGGGGCATGTAAAAAAACTAGAGAATGGGCGGCAGCTATTGTTATGTCTCTAGTAAGTTGTAATACACCTCCGCTGCCCAAAAAACAAGTAATGCCATCATGGACAGATCACTTTTTAACCCCCTGGGACTCACTGATAGTTTGGGGGAAGGACATCAATGAATTCCTGTAAAAAAAAAAAAAAAAATGCCCTCTCTTCTAAATAGTCTATCCTTCATCCCCAAAAAGGCCCAAATAAATTCCAAAATAACGTTTTTTTGTTTTTTTCCTCCAAGAGTTATTCTGTTCATAGACCCTATCATCCCTACATTTTTCATAATGTTATACTTTTGGTTAATATCGAATAGAAGCTCTGCATGGGTTTACAGTTGAACATTAGTAGATAACCATTATTGCAATGTTTATGAATCCCACTGTAAAAAAACCTCAATATTGAAGTTTATGTACACTGCATTTTTTATTAGGTTTACAGAAGTGTATTATTGCGAAAGATGCCTCAATCAGCAGCGGCAAGTGAGGATGTGGAAATGGCAGACTGCGGTAAGAATTTTTTTTTTTGGCATTATAAAGGATTAACATGGTGTTTGTGTTCTCATAAATATTTAAGCCTTATACAGCAAGTGTAAGCCATTCAAAATCTTTATTAGACAGGGGAGAATAGATTGCTGCAGTATTTATTGTAAATTCTATTTGGCATTAATAAAGGAACACTATAGTTTTAGTAATACAACGTACTCCTGACACTATAGTCCGGGAGTGCGTTTTAGGTTCCCAGCCCACTTCTCTGTGTAGGGAAAATGTTATTTTACTTATGTTTTCTCCACCACAGCATTGGCCTCGTGACTGGCTCTTCCCCCCCCATGGCTGAGATAATCAAGATATGCTTTTCCGGAGGGAGGCTATGAGCATACATGGCAAAATGGTGCGCTGCACCAGTCGACATTTCCTGTTCGAGATGCATTGAATCAATGGATCGTTCTAGAATGCGTTCAGCGTTTTCATGCAGTGCGTGGAGATGCTGAAAGTAGGTGCTAAAATGCCACTAGTGTTACTAGTCAGCTATTTTAACATTGCCTTTGCAGGGACAGGCTATGGGCACCAGAACCACTACATTAAGCTAAAGTAGGTCTGGTGGCTATAATGTCCCTTTAATTTCAGAAAAAGCTTTTAACCCCTTAAGGACACATGATGTGTGACATGTCATGATTTCCTTTTATTCCAGAAGTTTGGTCCTTAAGGGGTTAATTAGGTCTTGATAGATATGGTACAAATAAGTGAAAAGGGAGGGATGCAATGTAATGGTAAAAAAAAAAAAAGAAGCTACATTTAATCAAATTTTACATCCTTAAAGGACCACTATAGGCACCCAGACCACTTCAGCTCAGTGAAGTGGTCTGGGTGCCAGGTCCATCTAGTGTTAACCCTGGCTGCTGTAAACTGAGAAGTTTAAGGAAAAACTGCTGTGTTTACAATAGGGTTAATCCAGCCTCTAGTGGCTGTCTCATTGACAGCCGCTAGAAGCGCTTCTCACTGTGACTTTCAGTGAGATTTTCTGTGATTTTCCCAGTGAGAAGACGCCAGCGTCCTTTCCTATAGACTGACTGCATGCGGCTCTTGCCTCGCCTGCGCATTCAGCCGATGACGTTGGGAGGAGGAGGAGAGTCCCCAGCGCAGGAGAAAGATGAGTGTTTAACCCCTTCCTACCCCTAGAGGGGGAGGGGGGCCATGAGGGTGGGGAGGACCTATTAACACTACAGTGCCATGAAAACGAGTTTGTTTTCCTGGCACTATAGTGGTCCTTTAACCCCTTAAGGACACATGACATGTGTGACATGTCATGATTCCCTTTTATTCCAGAAGTTTGGTCCTTATGGGGTTAAACAAATTCACATAATTCAAACTTGCTGATCTGAGCCAATCAACACTTTGTGCCATCTGTGTAGAGATGCAATTGGACTCGTATTTGACACAATTTGGATATGTTTGTTCTATGGTTATATTTGTATATGTATTAGGGTTTCATTGGTCTTCTAGCCACTGGTGAGTAATAATTCAGCCCCGTCGAGTCTGCTGTGGAACCTCAAGGATTGATTTTGCAAATATTTTATCGTCCTGTGTAGGATAGAAATTTTGAGTCCTGCTCTCATGTCTTTAATGTGTAAACAGGGTTGGTAAAGTAGGCAGTGAATTATCCAGCGGTAACTTCAGATTCAGGGAGCTCCATTCAATATCAAAGACCTTCCTTCTAAATTATTGCCCTATTAACACACTTTGGATTTCTGTCTCTAGTGTTGCAGTTTCCTCACATCCTATTTTATGCTTTAAGGTGTAACGTTTGAATTTAATTTCCGTTGTCTTTATTTTTAGAATTGTCTCAAACACCCTCAAACACTTCCTGTGGCACCAATGACCAGGTGGAGAGAGGAGACCTCATCACATTTTATAACAATGTCTATGTAGAGCGAGTAAAACTGTTTGCACTTCGATATGCAGTCAGCATTTCAGAAAACCTGGTATGTAATTTTGTTTTTGGTACTTTTTTTTTTTTCTACAGGGTACAGCATAACCGATTAAGCAGTTTTGAGGGGCATAAAAAATTAACCGAGGTACATAGAGAAAAAAGTTATTTTCGAATTCAGCAGTAATAACCATTTTATATTCATTAAGTTTTGGAAATAATGTCCTTGAAAAGGCGGCCATTAGCAGCACCACGCTGTTGGAAACTATCTCTAAAGTTTTGTACAGCTCATTCACACATATCGTGGGGTATGGCATTAACTTCTTCAATAATCTGCTCGCTTAGCTCTGGTAGGGTGTAAGGGCGATGTTTGAACACTTTTTCCTTCAGATATCCCCAAAGAAAAAAAATTGCAAATGCTTAAATCTGGTCATCGCGTTGATCACCCCTCAGAAACCAGACATCCGGGAAACATTTCTTTCAAAACATTGAGTGAATTCCGGGCTGTGTGGGCTGGAACCCCATCCTGTTGGAACCAGAACTCCCCCAATTCCTCTTCTTCAACGATCTCTTCCATTCTGGGCTGCAGATAATTTTCCAACATTGAGACATAACGTTCAAAAATTCACCTCCTCCTCAAAAAAGTACAGGCCTATCACTCCGAATTGTGATACGGCACACCACAATGTTAGTTTAGGGAAACGTAGCGGTCTTTCATTAATCATTCAGTGGTTATTTTGAGCCTAGTAGTGGAAATCTAGCTTATTCACAGCTCCACTGAGATGAAAATGTGCCTTGTCGCTAGTGAAGAAAGCTGCTGCGGAAGGGATCTGTGCAAGCATTTGCTCACACAGATTTCAGCAGTTGGCGTAATCTGCTACACTCAATTTCTGAGCCAACATATTGTAGTGATGAAACTGCAAATATAAATAAAGAATACTCCTCAGACTGTGTTCTGACATTCCCAAAGCAACAGCATGCTTTCAAGCAGAAAGTCCAGGCGACTGCTCAATTGCTGCTCTTAGCAGCTGCACATTTTCCCGTGTTCTTATGGACCTGCATTGGCCATGTTTATCTCTTCTAAGCGTGGTACCAGTTTCCCCCAACTGCCTAACCCATGACCAAATTGTGTTCGCATTAGGAATGGCGTTGTTGCGCAGAATGTTGAACCGTCGCTAAAATGCTCTTTGCGTTGCGATCACAGACTGGTTGCTTTCTAAATACGCCCGCACGGCAAAGCCTCTATGTACTCCGGTCCAAACTAGATTGGCTACTAAAATGGGGTGACGAGACGGAACACAATGAGACCAGGTGCACCTGCCTCCCCTCAAAACTGCTTAATCGGTTCTGCTTCACCTTGTATCATGTTCCAAAAACTGACCGTTATTGAAGTCTTTGATTATAAGTCATGGAAAATGTTGGTATTTTAAGGATCAATATGTGGAGAGGAATGCTAAAAGCAGCAGTCAGTCGGAACCTTCCAATCATTTCCACAGTGTTTCCTCTGCATTTAGTCCTTTGCAACAGAACTGCTGTGATTTCAATGTGAACACATACAGAGTTATTCACCAAATTTATTTTCTTGACTTAAATCTCAATGGAAAAACTGAGGCAACAATTAACTGATCTGGAAAAGTTAATCTGCTTAGCCATATTCACAAGCTGGCTATTTTTGCCTCAGTTTTGCATTCCGACTAAACTCTGATCCTGTTTTTAAGTATCACAATGACTTGTTTCTGATACCTGACTAATTTTACAGTAGCAGAAACTTCTTGAAAATATGCAAAACCTAACCGTTTATGGAATAGTCTATTCATATTATCCATTAGCTATTAGTGAGTTAAAATTCATATATTTTCTAGCTCAAGAGATTTGCTAACCAACATTTATGGTTGTACAATACAGCAAAATGATCTTTGTATATTGGAAACAAACATTTATAAAAAAAGGACAGTAATGCATTCACAAAAGTGGCTCCAAACCCTACACTGAACTGCAGCACACTTTGCTGAGCCTCTCTGGACCATCTGTATATTTCTGGAATTGTTTGATACAGCATTATTAATCATTTTAACCATATACAAAAAGGCAGTTTCCATATTACCAGCAACTAGGTCTACATGGATTAATTTGTGAAACTTAAACCACTCATCTAATGCAGACAGATAAGTACTCCCAATTGCCCTATGCGAATGCTTTCATAAGAATTGGAAAGCTCCTCCCAGATTAATAGCTAAAGGCATTCTGGCCATTCCATGCTTAACTTTTTGCATCCAGTACCAAACTTCTGAATATGCTGAGCTGAAACGGAGAAATAGTATCAGCTACCCTATTCTCAACAGGAATTTGTATAGCCTTTAACCAAATATGTTTCAAGTATAGGAATACTAAGTTTCTTAACAAATTAATAATAAAGCTACACTTTAAATGCATTTAATCAATAACTTATACTATTGATTGTCACAGGGAAATAATGTATTTAGTTTGGGGTGCTTGACCCCAAACTAAAACTGCAGACACAATTGGAAACAATTCTAACAGTCAACTTTTTAGTTGACGCTGGCTTCACCCAATGCTCTGGTTACTGTACAAATATGCAAACTCCAACTGAACCTGCAAATTCTAACCACCCCCCTTCAGATTGACACTAGAGATCAGTTCCTGGTTTATTAGAGTTTTTACCTTGGATTTATTTTTATTTTGTAAAAAAAAAAAAAAAGGCTTCTGGGATACCTATTTCAGCAGCAGCTAGTCTAAACTTGGTATTACTGTAGGGAACAACTCACCTCCCAACATTCTACGATGCAGTAAAGAATGCATGTTGCTGCTGGATGTCGCCTACCGAGAAGAACTCCAGGTTACAATTTTGTTCAGTTCATAAAATGTCTAGACTTTGCATGCATTAAATTGTAAATATAAAGTATGATGTCGAAAAATATTCAGATGAGAATCTTAACCCCTTATGGACCAAACTTCTGGAATAAAAGGGAATCATGACATGTCACACATGTCGTGTCCTTAAGGGGTTAAATATTTTGGCAGTTAGCAGTTCATTTATGTTCATCTAATGATCAACTAAATACCTCATACCATGTAACTATTTTGTATTTTCTCCCCTTTAAAGGCAGAGGCTCCCCCTCTCTCCCCATTTCCAAGTATCAAACAGCAAGCAGTGTCTCCTCGACGGGTATCCCAGCAGCACTCCCTTTATGTCTCCCCTCACAAGAATACCAGCTGTCTAACTCCACGTTCTGCCCTCCTGTACAGGTTTAACAGGAGTCCTTCAAAAGTAAGTTCTTAAAACCATACTTCTGTTCGGCTTGGCATTGTATGTGATATATGTTGTGAACACCTGACTTGCCAACACATTACAAGTATTGTATTTTATAAATTCTGTATAAAGAGATTAAATTAACCTAAAGTACCTAAAGAAAGATTTGGTTGCATATTTTTCACCCCCCACTAATCTCTGAAATAACATAGAATTTAAAGTACATTTACTTTCTCTTATTCACACAGAGCTTGAAAGACATCAACATTATGATTAAAGAGGAACAGAGAAGCCGGAAGCGAGCTCTAACAATAGATAGCGACTCAGAATCTCCAGCTAAGCGACCATGCCAGGAGAATGATGATGCTCTCCTGAAACGACTTCAGGATGTTGTGAGCGAAAGGGCAAATCATTAGCATATGTATGCTATAAGCTGTATGTTATGTTTTTCTATTACTAAGTTTCATTCACTACAGATTTTTATTTTATTTTATTTTTTAAGTATACACATTGATTGCTGTGGGTTAGTCTGGCAGAAATGTTACTACAAGGAAAATATAATAAATGGGGTCCCCCCACCCCTACAAATCCCACCCTTTACAATTTAGTTTTTTTGTTTACCCACCTCTGCAATAATGATGTATCGCACGCAAACCTACTACATCCTGGAAGAAAGAGTGACTTTTCAAAATACATCTTGTTTGATTGTCTCCAAACCGTGGCCTTGTGTTAGGATAAAATAAAGTTGCCTTCATTTAAGAATGGTCAATAGAAAACACCTGTTTTGGTTCTTTTTACTTCATGTTCATTGCATCATGTCTGAGATGAATTTTGGTTTACTGCTTGTCTGCATTTCCATTAAATCTTTTAGTCCTTCAAAATGTTACATTACTGAAAAACAAAGTAAAAGTATTTTTAGACTTTAATATAGTGCAGAGAGTTGCTAATGTTTAAATTTACTTTAATTCTACATTTTTAAGAACCCGTTTTGTCACCTTATCTTAGTCAAAAAATTTTTTTAGGACAACAGGCAAAATACTATTAGCTTGTTTTGTTTTTTTTAGTGCTTTTAAGAGTTGCATCTCACTTGAGATCGTTTTTGCCAACATGTGTTATTGTGATATAGGCATCTTCCAATCCGATCGGTGATTGTGAAGTGCAATATCAGCTAACGGAATGTGGGTTTAAAAGACTCTTCAGCTGGCTGCTTTCTTTAGACAGCATGCTTATTTTTATACCATTTTTCAACTGGCTGCTTACTTAAGAGCATGCTTTTCAAGTAGTAAGAAGCATATTTCTATGTATAGAACTGTTGCTCTCCTACATCTTTGATATTTAAAATGAAAGAAAATATTTCAAACTCTCATCCTTTGGGCATCCTCTTTTGTGCATTTGAGCTAACCTGTGTTGTGTAGCATCTACACGTGTAATGAGATTGTATGTATTATATGTATTTTTAACATCTTTTACGCCTTCTTGTACAGAATTGTATGCTGATGTAAAGTTTTATGTTGCAGCAACTTTTCAGATAAAAAAAATAAATAAAATTTAAAAATTAACTGAGTTCAAAAGGTTTTATGCGTTTAATTTCTTAAATCACTCTGTTGCAGAACACAAACACTAGCAAAGTACTGCGTGTAATGCAGTGTACAAAAATGTGTTTTGGTTCTTAGCAGAACATTTTATAAGTGGTGCAAGTGCTCAAAATACAGGATGAGTTAAAAGTACCAAAACAGCTATTTAAGATGCTTAAAGAAACACTTCAATTAAAACTTTTTATGTAAGAACGCAATCACTGCGGTCTCTCCATCACTTTATTATTTAATGTCATATAGTGTACAGGAATCACACACTTCACATGCCTATCCTTGTAGTAGGGATCAACAGATTATCGGTTACGCTGGTTGTTAGAGTCGATATTTTGCATATTTCAGATAATGGATACCGATCGTGTAATTTACCGCTTATATGCCGTCTTCCTCATCTGGAAAACTTTAGCCGCCAGCCAGTGAGGTACCAAATTTCAGCCACAAGTAATCCCTCCCTGTGAGACCCCTTATGCAGAGCTAAGCTGAAGGCAGGGAGATGAGACCGTAAATAATCTACTGTAATATACTGGGCTGGCTGATGGTGTGATTGGTATCATTATGTTCAGTTAATGCCAGATTTCTGTAGAAATAGTATTGCTTTTTCAAAAGGTATAAAATACAGAATTTTGACATCGGTTATCGCCAATTGGCTTGAAAATACAATCACATACAAATCAGTACTACACAAATCACTATTCATGAGCAGGCTAAATAAAATAGCAACGCAATTATTATTATTTTATTATTTATATAGCGCAAACAAATTCCGTAGCGCTGTACAATGGGTGGACTAACAGACACATAATTGAGATCAGACCACTGGACGTACAGGAACAGAGGGGGTTGAGGGCCCTGCTCGATGAGTTACATGCTAGTGAGGTATAGTGACACAAAGGGTTAAAGTAGAGGAATTAAATAGTTTGTTAGAGAAGGGTTTATTGAGTGCTTGGTAGGTCATTTTTGACCGTTGCAGGAAAGGAGTCATGGGGTGGGGGATGAGAAACCTGCTGACAGTTTGATACGCTTTAATTTTTACACAGCCTACCAGAGCCAGATACGTGTCCAAAAACACACATTTCGTCATACAAAAGTGCCTTTCTCAAGGGACAGCCTTGATTGTTAGTTGAGTTAATAAAGTTTTTGCTTTTTGAATGCATTTGTGTACATCTTTTTTTGTATTTCAAGTATATTGTGTTTGGTACTGGGCACTATGCTTTCATTTATTTTGTTATTGAAGGGGCACTATAGTTACCAGAACCACTACAGCTTAACCCCTTAAGGATGGAGGCAAGTTCTGACCAAAACAAGACCTAGAATTTCAGCTATGTCTATTCAACCATAATTTACCTCTTTCATCGTAAGTGCACCCACAGCTCTAATATATAATTTTGTTGAGGAGAAACAGGGCTTTCATTTTACTTTATATATGAAACCACATTTAATACGAATAAAATCTAAAAAGTGTGAGAACCTAAATGTTTTCCAAGTTCTGCACGGCCTTTTAACTGAATGTCATAACACTGTTAAAGGATCACCATAGGGTCAGGAACACATGTGTTTCTGACCCTATAGGGTTAAAACCACCATCTAGCCACCCTAGGTCCCTCATGCCTCCATAAATATAGCAAAATCTTACTCTATTCAAGCCTGAAGCTGTATCTCAGCATGCTGTTTGCCTCAGAAAAACAAGCTGTCTGCTGATATCATCAGAAGTGGTAGCCTGATCCAATCACAATGCTTCCCCATAGGATTGGCTGAGACTGACAAGGAGGCAGCTCAGGGGCAGAACCAGCATGATTCAAACACAGCCCTGGCCAATCAGCATCTCCTCATAGAGATGAATTGAATCAATGAATCTCTATGAGGAAAGTTCAGTGTCTGCATGCAGAGGGAGGAGATACTGAATGTTTGGATGCATTTTAGGCAGCCATGACCCAGGAAGGATCTCTTAACAGCCATCTGAGGAGTTGCCAGTGAAGTTATCACTAGGCTGTAATGTAAACACTGCATTTTCTCTGAAAAGACAGTGCTTAAAGCAAAAAACCTGAAGGTAATGATTATACTCACCAGAACAAATTCAATAAGCTGTAGCTGTTCTGGTGACTACAGTGTCCCTTTTACTGCAATAAAACACACACGTTTGTATGCTGTGATGTCCCACAAGTACAACAATGCACCCCATGTACATATTTCATGTTTTTTTGGAAAGGGTTTTACAGGGTCAAATAATGAACTTGCCCATTTCTGTTTTTACACCATTAACTTTGCCAAATTGGTCTGCTGGACCTATGTTGCATTTGAGAACATATAGCAGCCCAGAAATGAAAATGACTGTTTAACAGGTCTTTCAAATGAATATTATGCAAACCATTCTTCTTTTCAGCTTGGCATTGTATGTGATATATGTTGTGACCTGACTTGCCAATACATTACAAGCATTGTATTTTATAAATTCTGTATAGAGAGAATAAATTACCTGATGCACCTAAAGAAAGATTTGGTTGCATATTTTTCACCCCCCACTAATCTCTGAAATAACATAGAATTTAAAGTACATTTACTTTCTCTTATTCACACAGAGCTTGAGAGACATCAACATTATGATTAAAGAGGAACAGAGAAGCCGGAAGCGAGCTCTAACAATAGATAGCGACTCAGAATCTCCAGTTAAGCGACCATGCCAGGAGAATGATGATGCTCTCCTGAAACGACTTCAGGATATTGTGAGCGAAAGGACAAATCATTAGCATATGTATGCTATAAGCTGTACGATATGTTTTTCTATTATCAAGTTTCATTCACTACAGATTTTTTATTTTTTTTATTATACACATTGTTGTGGGTTAATCTGTCAGGAATAAGTTTCTGCCAAGGAAAATGTAAATGGTGTTTCTCCCTGCAGCCCCTACAAATCCCACTCATTACAATTTAGTTTTTTTGTTTACCCACCTGTACAATAATCATGTATCACAGACAAACCACCTGCATCCTGGAAGAAATGGTGACTTTTCAAAATACATTTTGGTTGATTGTCTCCAAATTGTGGCCTTGTGTTAGAATAAAATAACTTACCTTCATTTAAGAATGGTCAATAGAAAACACCTGTTTTTGTTGTTTTTACTTCATTTTCATTGCATCATGTCTGAGAGGAATTTTGGTTTTCTCTTAATGTTCCATCTTTACTACTTGTATGCGTGTGTTGTTTTTTTTTTAAATTTTATAATTTATGTTTTTCAATACTAACTAGGTCATCCAGCATTCCCATAAAATTTCTGCGCTAAGTACTCTGTGGAAATGGCACTGACCAAATTATCCAATTATTTACTTGCTGCAAAATCTCGTGGTCACTACTCTATCCTTATTCTCCTTGACCTGTCTGCGGCTTTTGACACTGTTGATCATCAACAGCTTCTTCTCATCCTCCGCAATATCGGTCTACAAGATATTGCTCTCTCCTGGTGCTCCTCCTACTTCTCCCAGCGCTCTTTCAGTGTTTCTTTCTCTGGCTCTGCTTCTTCTCCCCAACTCCTCTCTGTTGGTGTCCCCCAAGGTTCAGCCCTTGGTTCCCTTCTGTTCTCCATCTAAACTGCCTCCCTTGGTAAACTCATTAGCTCCTTTGGCTTCCAATATCATTTCTATGCAGATGACACGCAAATCTACCAGTCCTCTTCTGATCTCTCCCCGTCCCTCTTGACTAGTGTCTCTGACTGCCTCTCTGCTATTTCTAACTGGATGGCTGCCCACTTCCTTAAACTAAACTTGACCAAAACTGAAATTCTGGTCTTTCCTCCCTCAAGTGTTGTTACTCCTGTGTCTGTCTCCCTCCAAGTCAACGGTGCTACCATCAGCTCCACCACGCAGGCTTGCTGCCTAGGTGTTCTTTGACTTCTACCTCTCCTTCAAGCCTCATGTTCAGTCTATCGCCAAATCCTGTCATTTTCATTTAAAAAACATTGCGTAGATCCAACTCTACTTAATGCCAGATGCGACTAAGGTGCTGGTCCATTCCACTGTCCTTTCTCGCCTTGACTACTGTAGTCCGCTTCTCAGTGGTCTTAAGTGCTCCCAACTTGCGCCGTTACAGTCCATAATGAATGCAGCGGCAAAGCTCATCTTCCTCTCCGCCCACGCCTCACCCTTCTGTCAGTCCCTACATTGGCTTCCTGTAAGATATAGGGCTCAATTTAAAATTCTGGTTCTTGCTTTCAAATCTCTACATAATGCTTCTCCCAACTATCTATATCTATATCCTCCCTAATACACATCCAGGCCCTTACGATCTGCTGAAGACCTACATATATCTTCTGTCTGTACTCCCACCTCTGATGCTCGCCTTCAAGGCTTCTCGAGGGCTGCACTGTTCCTGTGGAACTCTCTTCCCTCCTCTGTTAGATGCTCACCCAGTCTCCACTCCTTCAAAAAAATCATTAAAAACCCACTTCTTCATAAAAGCGTATCAATTAAACTGTTAATAGCTCCCGACTGATTCCTCTTTTGCAACTGTCACTAGTCTAATACTATCCTTACCTTTTTGTGTCACTATACACCACTCCCTCTAGCATGTAAGCTCATTAAGCAGGGCCCTCAGCCCCTCTTTTCCTGTGTGTCCAAATTGTCTGGTTACAACTACATGTCTGTTCGTCCACCCATTGTAAAGCGCTGCGGAATTTGATGGCACTATGTAAATAACATAATTCCTTTTAAAATGTTACATTACTGAAAACAAAGTTGAAGACATTTTTTTAGACTTCAATGTAGTGCAGAGAGTTGTAATATTAAAATTTACTTTAATTCTACATTTTCCCAAAAAGTTTATATCACCTTTTAATTTGTCATTTTATTCAGGACAACAGTCAAAATACTATTAGCTTGTTTTTAGTTCTTTTAAGATTTGCCTCTCACTTGAGATCTTTTGTTTTGCCAAGCTGTATTATAATGGTATTGGCATCTTCCAATCAGATTGGTGATTTTGAAGCATCCGCTCACGGAATGTAGATTTAAAAGACTTAAAAAGGTCAATTATACATGTGTTACAAGTTATGTGCAAACAAATCACTTAGTTGACATTCCATTGTATGTCTGGGACATTTACTGACATAACACTGTACCAGCTTTCAGGGGTTAAGCGAGAGGAAATCAAAAGTTATGCAGGTCCACATAATAACCAGGAAGATGGGTAATTGGGTAACACCTTTGAACAGTTGGACTGAACCATTCCACATGAAAGACTGATGTTACTTAAAAGCCGAAAATGTATCAGCCTAGTTACTATTCACATAAGATCCCAATGTTCCAAGAGATCGTACAAATCGAGTATGCTTGCACTCATCAAACAATAATTGTCATATGTATCTCCACATCCATAATGGCCTCAAGCAAATGTTTTTTGAAAAGTATGCTCGGGGTCCTCTATTTTCTTTGTTGTGGGAGTCTTGATGATGATATCCCTTTCACAGGCTGTCTAAATCATCCATGCACCACAACTCCATACTGCTGAGGCTATTGCAAGGACATCTGCTCCACCATCAGTACAGCCATCAATGCTGGGTTCCTGTTTGCTACTGAGATGCCTCCTAGTGCCATGTTAATAGTGAATTGTTCCAACTAATAGGTGGCAGTATAATTGACCCATTATGGTCGTTAATGATCTTTCCAAATGATTCAATATTGCTAAAAAAAAAATTCCAAATTATTTATCTACAAGCAATCCCATAGACTGTAATGGTGACATCTGTAATGAATCATTTGGATTTTTTCTATCAGTATTGAATCATTTGAAAAGCTTATTAAATGGAGGTCTTTGTTCCATTGAGACATTGCAGTGTTTCAGTGCTTGCGATTAATTCTTTAAAGTGTTCTATCAGACTGTAATATTTTATTTACAGTGCTTATTTGTACTTTAAGTGGTGGTACCTAGGAATAGTTGCTTGTAGAATTGTCATCGGAGGCGTCTAAAGTGGTTATTTGATAGAAAAGCATTTTCAAATCTTTTGAGGTGTTGAAATTCTAAGGTTAAGATGAGTTTCATGAAAATGTCTGCAGGACTGTGATTGCTACAACATGTTTAAGGTTTGGTATAGTTACCTTTTTTTTTGATCTCCATTACTGTGAAAGTGATGCCAGAATTTTAAACAGTTGGACTGTGATTTCTCAGACATTGCTAATTGCTTATCAACAGCCATTATATTAGGTACGAGGTTATAATTTCACTAAAGATCGCTTAGTATCTAAGCATAAGAAATATAAAAGCTGTTGATTTCTTGTCTACACTGATTTTAACTGCACATTTCGAATGATGCAGTAAGGTTTGAATTTCATCTCAGTGCTTGCTCTATGAATGTTTCCTTGTCTACAGTGATAAACAAAATAATTATACACCACTTTTGTCATCTGGTGTCATTGTTTCTGTCATAGTAGGACCACTTTTCTCCACCCCTGAAACAGTGAAGGTATAAAATGTCATGCTTACGGTAACGGTCACCTCCTGAAACTGGTGAGTACTGGTGAGTAACTAATTTTTGTTTGTTCTGTAGTCTAGATATCAAAAGTATCCTGTGTAAAAATCTATTGTAAATATGTTACAGAACAGTAATAGCATCGGTGTATGGGTGGTGATACTGATGGGATGTTGGCTTTCAACATGTCCATGCGGATGTGATGCTTGAAGTTAGAGATAATGGCTTCAGGTGTGCCGATACTGTTTGAGGAATTATTTGGTCCAACAAATAATGCAGGTTTCTATAGTATGAAGAGATTGCAAATTAGAGTGCTTACTTACCATATACTGCTTTTCAATTTTGGAAACTAATTGTGCGAATGACCTAAGTAGAATGGAATATAGTGTACTAACAGGTGCACTGTTCACACTACTACTCCCCTCCTTTTACAGGTCATGATAGGCAAGTCTGATTAAAAATACCTCTTATAGGGTCCTAATAACAGAGCTGTCATTGCACCTATTATGAAGCTGATTGTCATTAATACTATTTGATTGCTTTTTTAACCGCAATTGTACCTGAACCAAAACAAAATCTTAAATTTGAGTTGTATGACTGTTTAACCATAATGTACCTCTTTTATATTAAGTGCACCCACACTTATTATATATCTTTTTGTTCAGGAGAAAAAGGGCTTTAATTTCTCACCCAAATATTTATATATATGAAACATAATTCAATATGTATAAAATCTAGAAAAAAAGGTTGAGAATTTCAAATTCTGCAAATAACCTTTATTAAATAAATTATACAAATTGATGAATCGATACATAATAAGCTGCATGTAGATCAATGAATAAATCACTGCCAAGAGTCTAGTGAGTAAAAAAAGCTCACAAAGAACTCTGGGTAGAAAAGTATAAAATGTTGAAACAACTATGCGATTAAAGTCTTGTGCACCCCAAAGTGTTAATAAGTGGGGAAAACAAACTGAAGTTAAATGAATTTTTTAACCAAAAAATTGCAAAAACAAAGAGCAAGAAATAGGGTTGACAGACTAGCAATCCACTAGTCTGTCAACCCTATTTCTTGCTCTTTGTTTTTGCAATTTTTTGGTTAAATTCTTACTAGCTCTATTAACTGAATAATAATTAACTTCAGTTTGTTTTCCCCACTTATTAACACTTTGGGGTGCACAAGACTTTAACTATGTAATTCTTCAGAACTATATTCTTTAGAAGACAATTTTCTTTTTATCGGATTCTTTAAGTGATTGAAATGAGGAATCCGAGGCATTCTGATGGTCTATT